GATTGTAAATTAAAAACACAAGAATTTTACCATATTTATTAAAAATGGGCATTGATTAGACTATTATTTTTAAAACTTTAATAGACACATTAGACATATGTATATCCATTTAATTATTATATAGTATTTATATCCATTTAATCATATGATAAAGATATATTTACATGGTAGACTTACTTAACTGGATGTATTTAAATTCAACATATGTATTTATTCTATATATCTGATAACTTTTGTAATCGTTGTATTATACTGAAATGCACATATGAATACAAAATATTACTTCCTCTTTAAATTTTGAGGAATATACAACCTTGCTTCTTATTTATTTACTGGTATCAGTGCTATCTGACCAAAATAAAAGGAAAAAAAAAAATCTCAGACAAGTTATCTACTTTCACCAATTCTAGTATCTGTTCTCCGCCTATTTTGGTTCCTACCACTTCAATCACAACATTTCAGTCAAGCTACAACACCATGGCAATTTTAATCTTTTGAAATCCTTAGTTGAACCAATCATCAAAGGTCACAACCTGCAGAAATATATTTCAGGAAAAACACCTCCACCACAAAGTGTCTCAAGGAAAAGAGTGCTCAAACGATATCAACCTTTAATAATAATAATTAAACTACCAAATAAATACTTATTACCGTTTCATTTCACACTATCCAGCAGTTTTTTTTATCTCTTCAATCCTTGTAATTATTTTTTAACATATGTCTTTTCGTTTTCTATTCATTCAATTTGTATTGCCATTAAAACCGACTCTTGATATTTTTTAAGAAAATTTGTATTCGTAATGCATTCACAAAGTACTGAATTTTTATTGATGCTTTTTGCTTCTACTATGTATTTCGCAATGCTAGACAAAAAATCAGATCTGAAGAACTTTGAAAGTGGTACCAGACATTTTACTCATTTTGTTATATTTTTTTATGTACATAAACTCTATAATTATTTGGTTTTCATAAACTAACAATTTTTTTTTCATTTTTTCAATAGTTGAATCAGCAATACTTAAGAGACAGTGCAAATTGAGACAGATTATAGAAAATGTTGGCACCAACTAGAGAATATAAATACCGAAAGACAGAAAGCGAAACATATCATTGATAGGTTGGTGGATATCATGCATTCAACAATCATTATTATTTCTAATCTCATGACATTGGAGTTACCGATTACTGCAAAAGAAATGGAACTGGCAAATCATCAGGATAAGAAATGAAGAATGCCAATGTACACATTTCTTTTATAATTAATATATAATAAATAAATTAACAATATATTGAATTCCAAAGTACAAGAGCAACAGTTTTTGTTTCTCATTAACTTACAATATTCATATTTTCCAACATCATCTTAAGTTTTTTATTCTTTTTTGTTAACAACCCATATTCCGAACAATAATATTTTACAAATATGTCATACAATAATTTTAGCAACACGTTAAATATATCCAACTCCTTTTGTGAGATAGTTGAATTTTTTGGTTTGCAACCATGCTTTTTCCTCGGTTTTGATTGACAAGGTATATCTGCTACCTTTTCAGCAAATTTTGAAACATTTGAACTCAAAAACATATCCTTTCATTTCTCCACAGATTCAGAATATGATTCAACATGTTTCTCATGCTAAAATAAAATCAAATATTTGTAAGTTATTTATCAAAAAATATAAAAAAAAAAATTATTAGAATAAAATACTTCTATAATATAAACAAACACATATATGTTATGCAAAAGAACATATATTTAAAACACCTTCCAAACAACACTAATTAAAAAACATGAATCCTGAATAAAAACAATTCAATAAATCAGACAAATTTAAAAGCCATAACAAACATACCACTTCAAGTTCACCAAGCAAATTGTCTAGCTTTAAAGCAAGTTTAGGGTTCTCCTGAGTTAAAATTTCAATCTGTTTAACAAAACAACACCAACAAAAAATAAAATAAAATAAAATCAATACAATAATTAAAATCAATATAAAAAAGAATACTTTTACAACTATGCTAATAATACCTTTTTCTGCGAACTAAAATATAAACTTCTGTATTTGAATTGACAGGTACAAGAATTATCATGAGAAGTAAACTTGCTTTGTTTACTTTCTATTAGTTCAATCAAGTTATCAATTTTCTATTCCAGAGTTTTGTTTTTTCTATTGGATTGAGAGCTCTCCGTAATCACATATCCTGGTCGTTGATCTTCTTCTTCACTTTCACTATAAACAACAGAATCAATCAAGCGCTGAATATCTTCATTTTGCTTTTCAAGATCTGTTTCTTGAAAACAAACAGAGCATCTATCATTAACATTAACAGAGCGCTTTCCTTTCTTCAACGCTGGATTTGAGGTTGACATGCTATCAACAATACCAGGACAAAAACAAAAGCCAAATATATATCACAATCAAATTTGAAAAAAAAAAACACTTACAAAAAAATAAATAAAGAAATAAAGAAAATTAAAAAAAAAAAAACATACCTTTGCCCTCACTTCATAGAAAAAAACATAAAATAAAATCAATCTTGCAAAACTATAAAAGCCCAAACACATACTTAATCATCAATCTCATTATCCAATGCATATCAAACAGAGCTTCACAATATAATATAAACAACAGTGTAATAACTCAAACAATAAAAAAAAAAACAATTAAAGCTTCACTTTCTTCAACCCTTTATTTCAGTTTTCCATGCTACAATCAAATTTCAAAAATCAATCTTGCAAAACTATAAAAGCCCAAACACATACTTAATTCTCACTGTCATCATCCGACGTATATCAAACAAAGCTACACAATATAATATAAACTACAGATAAACAAATCAAACAATAAAAAATCAAAAACAAAGGCTTGCAAACAAAAAAAGAAAAAGGGACGAAATAAATATTACTTACATTCTTACAAAATATTATTTAGATACTGCAGAAACTTTAAACAAACCAAAAGCAATAGTCGAAGAAACTGGAAACCGCGAGGTAGAGACGATGACCGTGTACTGAAAAAATACCCTAATTAAATAGTAAACAAATTTGAAATAAAATCCAGCCAAACAATTCGTACAGCAGTAACCAATTTGAAATAAAACCCGGCCAAAAAATTGATAGAGCATTAACTATCCGGTCCAAAAAAATAACAAGTTAAAATTAATGCAAAAGTGTCCAACTCAAGAAACACTATAATTAATATCAACATTTTGAATTAAATATATTTGACAATATATATCCACTTTAGCAAATTGGATTAAATAATATATGTAAATGTGTAATAATGAAAAAAATTACTATTATTAATTCTTTTATCCAGTATATCAAAATATACATGCAATAAAATATTGCTTTTTCACATAAAATTTATATGCAATTAAAATAAAATAGTATTCATTAATGGAATATTAAATTCTCAAAAAATACCTGCAATAAAATATTGTTTTTTTCACATAAAATCAATATGCAATTAATGTTAAATATTATTCATTAATGGAACATTAAATAATTTCAAAATGAAATTCATAACTAAATAAACAAGATCCAAAAGATAAATAATATGTCCAAATCCAATTTCAAAAGCAACCCGGCTTAAACTAGTACAGTGTATATAAACGAGGGATGGCAAAAAATTAGCATAATTTGTCAAAACCGTCATCCATGATATATGCATTTATATATCTTCGGAAATGGTAAGATCTTTGTCAATAGCTTGTATTGTATTCTCACGTCGGCAAGTCAATAAAAACAGGGAAAATATGGCGTGCAATGCAAGGACTCGCGAATGAAATGTCATCTCACAGTTGCTGATGGAAAGAAGGATGGAGACTCTTGTCTTAATTAAACAAATCATCCTCAATAATGATATTTAGTTCAATACTATTGATTAGGATAGAACCTCCATAAACAATTTCTTCTCTTCAATCAGTAGTTCCCCTTCTCCCCTCCAAGGACCAACAGTTTGAACATGGTGGAAAACGATCTCTTCATACAAGGAGAAGGCTGGGAACCCAGTTCCCGCCACTGTTAGGCTTGTGAAACAACTTGGTGACATATATACTCTTTAGGAAAGAACCTCAAGCGTATACAAATAGCTAACTATGTCAAAAACAAGATAGCCAGCAAGTCATTACCATTAGATTCGAGTGGTGTATACTTGGTTCTGACTGCGAAAGATGTGAGTGCATGTAGAGCGATTTTGCATGGGGGCGTGTGGTTTTCATGATAGCATCATAGTGCCTGCAAAGGGTATAATAGTTTATGCACATGTAGCAGACCCCTCGGTGCAGTGTCCTGGTCTTTGTGCATGGGCTTATGTTGGCAGGCCCTTGTGGCACCTAATGGTGTTGGGGCCGATGGGATGATTATAACATCGCCACTATTCTTGCAGGAGCTGCTACTAATCCTTTCAAGACAGGTTAATTTCAAGGAGATGCATTGGCACCTCGGGAGGCTGTTACAGCATGTCCAGGGATATTTGGTGGTGGAGCTTATCCAGGGTATCCCGGAAACCTGAAAGTGGATAAAATGAGTAAAGCACGTTTTAACGCTTATGGTCAAACAATTGGCAGCAAATTTATATGGGATCCAGTCAGCTTCAACTGTAAAGTTATTGCTTGAATTTTAAAATCCGCGGTACAACGCTGTAGTGTACCCCGAAACCGAAAGTTTACATATACATAAGCAGCTTCTCCTCATTAAAAATTGCAAAACTTAATAACCGCGTGCTGTATTAGTATCATTTTTCTTCTCGACAAAATATATAAATAGTGCATTGATGCAACACATTAAAGTCAAGAAAGTAATAAAAAAAGATCTTGTATTTGAGTGATTGTCGTTGGCTAAAGCTATCTCACTTGGGTAATCTTAATTTAATTCAAGCAGAATCTGGTATACAAAATTACAAACTAACAATACATTAGCATAAAAATAGGATATACAAAATGCCATTAATAATGTCATCAATTGCTCGACAGAACTTGTAAATTGCTTTCATCATATTATAATCAAAATTAGTCGGATTAATTCTCTTGTATGTAACTTTCTTTAGTACACCTCAACGGCTCAACACAAAGTGAGGGTGGCTTTCCCCTTATTTGCCAACTATTTCCTACATTGTCACGAAGTAAATATCAAAAATAGACACGAGGCTATTGGAAAGCCAAAGGAACATTGTTTTTAATTAATAAAAATGAAATCATCGTTGGATTTCTAACAATTGACTCGATTAGAAGGGAGGCAAATGGTGCAAAAATAGAACATCTTCAAAACCGATGTTAAAGCCAGAACCAAAATTCTCACGAGCTTGTCAGTCAGTCAGATGGGCCAATCATTTTCTCGGGCACCACAAGATTATCAAATTCTTCACACGTGAGTACTCCAAGTTTCAAGGCAGCATCCTGCAAAATTTGATTTGTTTTATTTCGATAGTTTAAAATAAGGATTGGTGCACATTACAGGAGTCTACAAAAATAAAAATGAAAACGCTCAAAGACACAAAAACAAGATGATTATCACCTTCAGTGTAGTTCCCTCCTTGTGGGCCTTCTTGGCAACTGCAGCAGCATTGTCATAACCAATTTTCTGGAGAGAATTAACAAAAATAAGTAACTTATAATTCAAAGTAAAGGAAACCGGAGAGAATGAAGATATGAAAACAGGTTTAACAACTTACAGGATTCAAGGATGTGACGAGCATCAATGACTGCATAAGAAAATTTGATCAGGGATCTATAATATGGCATAACAAAGTTTATAGATGCTGAATGTGGATTTAACTGACTGACCTCATGAAGTAATTTTGCTATCCTTTCCCTATTAGCTTGAATTCCTCTTACACAGTTCTTCTCAAAGGAAGCAGATGCGTCGCCCAGCAATCTCACTGACTGTTAGGAACAAACCAAAAATGTTAGTTCGGTGAAGAAGTACATGCCTTCTAAAATATGGAAGACCCACACAACATCATAATATCAGATGTTCTTGTACATTCCAATTGGCACCCTCCTACCATAAGATTTTAACATTACATTGCACACATCTGAGGATGCCAGTTGAGAAGGAAGTCACAACATATCATAACTTCCCACAATTTTCAAACAGAATATTTAAGTGGATTTGTCACTAAAATTTGATTTAGTTCAAATTCCTGAATTTCTATGAAATTTTGTCAACAAACAAGTTAGATTTTTTTTTTTTTATCAGTTTATGTAATTTTCTTCAAATTCTACAAATCTTATAAACAAATTTTCTCCATTTCATTTTTTGAAAGAATATTAGCAATACAACAACAAAAGAACATACATGTAGGAGACCACTAGCAATCATTGGCTTGAATACATTTAGCTCAAAGTGGCCATTCGATCCACCCACTGTGATGCCCACATGGTTCCCCATAACCTGCAAGATGAGAAAAAGATATTGACTGATAGTAAATAAAGGTTCAAAAAGGATACCTATTGTATCATATCAATTAAAGACTATTCCATACATAATCTCATGACTAGATAGTAGAGTAAGAAATTTAAATATTGATACTCAAGTATGTAAGTAACTGCCAGAAACTATACATTACAGTTGATCATATCATTTAAATGAATCAAAATCAGATGCAGACAGTTTACCTGAGCGCAGACCATTGTGAGTGCTTCACATTGAGTCGGATTGACTTTTCCCTGAAACAAAAGTTTAGTCCAATCAAATTTTGATAGACTAAGCTACTGCACATGAAAAAAATTTGGTCACAAAAAAGTTGTATGGAGAATGAGGATTTACAGGCATGATACTGCTGCCTGGCTCATTTTCAAGAAGAATGAGTTCACCAAGGCCGCAACGGGGACCACTGAAACCAGTTAGAAAACCATTAAAATCAAGCAAATAAACCGACAAAAAAATTTCCAAATGCTACACAAACCTTCCTAATAAGCGTATGTCATTGGCGATTTTCATTAGAGAAGTAGCAATTGTGTTGAGGGCTCCACTGGTTTCAACAAAAGCATCGTGTGCAGCCTAGACGTTTTGACATATTTAAGAATGTGAAACTGCTTTGGTAGATATACTATATATGGCAAGAAATAAGCTAACAATTCAACCCGAAAAGAAAGAGAAGAAAAAGCATAGTTAAAGGAATTACAAACTTACCAAAGCTTCAAACTTGTTTTCTGCTGTGACAAAAGGCAAGTCTGTTTCCTCAGCTACTGCAGCAGCAATCTTTACATCAAACCTATAACAATATTTAAAAGATTGAGCAATGCTGAAGTAAGCAATAAGCAAACAACAGCAACACAAGAAGTTGACAAGGGCAACAGTCAGTTGAGGTCATGAACTTTTCATGTAGACCAGACTACATTGCATCTACCTGAAGCAGGCCTCTATCTGACCATGCTCCCTGACTCTACTCAGAAATCAGCACTACAATTGTTCATGCAGCAATTAATTGATGCTTATTAAGTTTTCCAGGAGGCATGTGACATCAATCTTATCCAGACAATACCATCAAACTTATAACAATAAATTTGTTCACAGATATAAATGAAGGAACATATCTTGTCTAATCATATCACAAACATTCAAAGAAGCAATCCATACCCTTTCTTTGTGTTCAATCCAGTTCCTACAGCAGTGCCACCCTGTGCAAGCTGCTCATATGAAATCTCAACTCTGTCAGAACTTGAAAGTAGAAGGGGTGGCAGGAGTTCAAGAGAGAGGATGCTTTTATTAAAAGATATTTTGCCTACCTGATACATGCGAGGCAGAGTGCACATGACTCGGTCAATGCCATACTTCACCTGAATACAAGTCAGAAACAAATCATAGTTTAGCTCCTGCAATAATGTCAAGCTTGTCCTATACTCATTTCAATCAAGATAAATGAACCTCATTAGTAAATCAAAACAAGTGCAGCGGGAAGAATGAATACTTGTGTAGTATAGCCACTAAATTCTTGCCCAAGAGTCAAAGGTGTTGCATCTTGAGTGTGAGTGCGCCCAATTTTGACAATATCCTTAAATTCAACGGACTGATAAATTACCAAAAAAAAAAAAAAAATTAATTAATAATTAGCAACAGCAGTACTACTATATATGTAAAGGCATGGACATGTGATCCAAACACCAAATACAATGTAGAAGTTATGACATGAAACATTAAAGCATGACATATGAACAAACAAGCAAAACACAACACACAGAGCTGCCACGTGGACAAACTGAAGAATCACAAGGCTTCTCAAAGCAAACACTTGATGATAGAGGCAATGGGAATCAAAAGTGAGTTGCTGTAAATAAATCAAAGAAATGCGTGCCAAAGAAGGCTCAGACCTGCATAAACCAAAGTTGTTATTGAACAACTAACTTAAGATATTACAAAAGTAAAAGTAGATCAGCAAGCATATAACAGAACCAAGACAGAATCCATCCTTCACATAGCACCCAGACGGTTTAAGACCTCCTAAACTTGCCAAGCTCGATAAGCATATTACATCTAAATGCAACAAGGACATGCAGGTCGCATGCAATACATGTATCTCAAAAAGCTTGATTTACATGTGCAACATAGCATAAAGGGGCTTCAAATAAGACAGTTAATATACATACATGACATATTGCAACAGCAAAAATGGAATTAAGCCATCATGCAACTGTTTGCTCTTAAAAGATGGAAGAAAAAACCAAACCTTTGAATGCAGTGAATTATGCAAGGTACTCAAATTTGGAATTAGTCTTGAATTTATTTCCATTGCCGCTGCAATATGCATTACCTGAGAAAAAAAAGCTTCCAAAAAACTAATTAAAAGAACCATAAGCAACCAGTTTTTTCAACAAAGAAAATGGGCATAACAAGAGAACAATTCAAGCAAATGGCTAGCTAGGAATTACAGCAGTTGCCAAGTCAAATAGAAGAAATGAATGAATGCAATGTAAATTGCTGGAAGTTGAAATGTAACTTACAGTTGGGAATGTGTCATTAGAAGACTGAGATCTGTTAACATGGTCATTTGGGTGCACAAACTTTTCACCACGCTTATGCCCAAGGATTTCAGCTGCTCTATTAGCAATAACCTGGAAGAAAATTCAGACTTTTATCACAATCAAACAGTAGAAGTCATACACTTTATCTCTCAATATTTCAGTAAGCAATAGAAAGCATAATCATTAAAAAAAAATAGTGAAGTATATACGGTCACCACCATTAGTTGGCACACAAGCTTTCAAGAGGACAAGTTCAATTAGGACTGCAATTTTATTGATATATAACACCTCACAAGTTGCTTCAAACATTTGAATCATGAAAGAGTGAGTCAACATTTATGAAATACAGAAACAGATGCTACAGTACACAAACGAAAGCAAGACTCCAAAACCAAATAAAGAACATGTGAGCCCACAAAACAGGAACTGACCTCATTGGCATTCATGTTACTTTGAGTGCCACTACCAGTTTGCCATACGACAAGTGGAAAATGATCAGTTAACTTCCCCTCAGCTACTTCTTGTGCGGCTTGCATGATTGCTTTTCCTATCGCCGGCTCAAGACCATACTCCATATTTACCTGCAACATAATACATAATGTACTTATTACCGAGGCCAAGAATAACAACTCAACAAATTCTCTTACAGAAATAAACATAAAAGATAATTATAATACATCAAAATTAAACTGTCCACCATCTAACCCAAGTTTCAAGTCTGTTACATCACCCGTAAATATTAAATAAACCCAAATCTTTTTTATTAAAACCAAATATATATGTATAAGTAACTAAAATATCCTACCTTGGCAGCACATTTCTTGAGGATGCCAAAGGCACGAACAATAGGTTCGGGCATTCGCTCACGCGGGCCGCCAATATCAAAATTCTGCAATGACCTTTGAGTTTGTGCCCCCCAAAGCCTGAAACATAAAACACGAAACAATAAATATATTTTTATTGCAAAATACAAAAAGCTTTGCTTTCCAGAACTGAAAAGTATGCCAAATAAGTTATAAAGAAAAGACATAAAGGATAATAATAGCTTTAGAACAAAAAGACGAACTTATCGGAGGGAACTAAGATAGGGCCAAAAGTGTCCCTTTCTTCCCTAAACGCGGTCGAATAAGATCTCCAACAACTGCCATAACGCAACGCCCCTACCAATTGCGAAGTCGTTAATCCGCCACCAGAGACTCGCCGCGATATAATATAAAGTGCCATATCTTGCTCTACTTAGTACTGCCCAAACCAGAATACCACAATTCAGAACCGTAACGCACAACACGTAATAAAGTACACAATGACGCAGACAAAGAGAGAGATCAAACCGAAGAAGTGAGTGAGGTGAAATGAATTGCAGGAGATGGTGTAAATCCAGTAACCGAGGAGGTTGGTTAAGAAAATATGGATGCAGGGGATAGGATAGGATGTGCGCGCGAGGGTCAGAAAAGAAAAGTTAGGTCATCGATTTGGAATATTGAATTGAATAATATTTTGAGGGTTGGCTGATGGCTAGTGGTCTGCACATGACGCCATAATAGTGGGATGATTTTGGCTTTTTTATCTGGGTATTTAACAAAATCGGCCTCTGCCTGGCTGCGCTATGCTCAATGGTAAGTAGAGAGTCTAGAGAGTAGTCGTCATTCTTGTTACTTACTTTCAATACCCTCGTATTCAATTTTGTAATAAATAAAAAATAATATATTTTTATTCAATAGTTAATTTTGTAAGATCATTTCAACCGACATGTCGTTTAATCACTGTTTATCATATCCTTCGTGGGACTCCACCTCTTTGTCAGCGTTGAGGGCCATTACGAAGAACTTTGGGTAGCCCAACAAGTTACAACTAAGATATTGATTCGTACCCACCTCAAAGTACATGAATCAATATCTTAATCGGAACATGTTGGGCTATCCACGGTTCATGATAATGGGCCTCTAGTTTACAAAGTGATGGAAGCCAACAAATTTCATTTTTTCCAAGTCTGATCCACATGCAAAGCTATGATTGTTAAACAAATTTTGATGGGATTGGTTTATGGTTACGTCAGATTATTGATCGAGCTAATATCTTTCTTCTCATGATAAGTTTATTTCATATATACAACTCAATTTTAATTTATAGGTTTGTTGTTTTTAACATTGTCTTAAATACTTAAAATAGGTGTGTTAAGACCACTAAAAAAATGAAAAAAAAAATAATTTTTAAATATTTTATTTACAACAAATATATTAGTATTTGGTTACTCTTCCGAGCATTTACTAAATTTTGACATGCTATAAGTTCAATATTTATATGAACTAATATGACGTGTCTTAAATATTTATATAATTTAACTTTGTAAGCAAGTGTAGATATCAAACATAATAAGAAACTAAAATTATGAAAAATAAGTAAGAAAATAGCCGATTCAGTCTAAGGCTTTCTTTAAGGAGTAATGCTAACTCTAAGTCCTTCATAGCTGCCAGTAGCATGTGACAATCAGCGTACTAGTGTAATACATGTTCATCTCAACCGGATCCAGCCAACATGGTCCACCCTCAAATTTTTTTTTTTTAAATACTAATATATATAATTTTTAGATTTTGATCCACTCTAACAAAAATATTAATATATAATTAGTTTTAATTTTAACTCACCCTAAAAAAAAAATTATAATCCGCTATGAATTCTCAACCGTTCACATATTGCCAATATACACGTTACACATAAAGTTTGGCCATTTGTGTGCCCAGTCGTTTTAAATGGATTTGTCAGTCCACACATGGAGCAGCACTCGTTTCCGTTAACTGCTAAAATATTATTATGTATGACAGCTGGCCTTTGCTTCCTCATGTGCGGTGCGGCGGGGGCTGGTTCTTGTTATTATCATCTTATAATGAAGGTTTTTTCGTCATTAACCGATGTCATCAGAGCAACTGCTGATCAATATGGAAAGACTGTACACTAGAAAAGGGTAGAATTGTCAATCTAGCATAGCCCCGTACTGATACAGAATAGATCCATTAAAGAATGACTCGTAAAGAAGAGGTGAGTGGGTCCAACAAAGAGGCCAAGAAAGAGAAGAGTTATGATCTGGCAAAGTAAGTGACGCCAGCCTGGCAATATTTTAGCATAATTCATCATGGGTCCCAAGACCCCACATGCACCCCAACTTGCTACTCCTGCGGTCCGGCCACACATGATCTCTTCACCTTCCATGCTTTAAATTCTTTGTTTTTGCACACATTAATTCTTCATTACAAACTCAAAGCTATTTCATATTGCCCTTTTTGAGCTAATCATATGTCGGCACGACAAGGTTCAGATTTGATATTTGTAATTATTTTTAAATGGTTATTTAAGGCTCTGCTTAATGTAATAATAACATAATACATCACCACTTTCCAACTTGAAGTGGTGCGGTGTGGTACTGTGATTTTATATATATGGCATAAGCAAAGAATTAGCTTTTCTTTTTTTTTTTGGCTGTTGTTTTCACTTGCCATCTCGTTTGTTTTCTTGTGTTATGTTAGCTTGTTGGCACTATACACACAAAGCTTCTTTCACCTTGGTCTTCTTGACTTCTTCTCTCATTCTTCTTCAGTTCATACTACTGTTCATTTCCTAAACTAAGTTTCGTATCTGATCCTTTCGCTGCCGTTGGAGGAAGTTGTAGAGACTCATGAAGACGCTAGTAAGTACGTTGGTTTATTTTTTAACGTTTGATTCATTAGTTTTCATAAATGAAACGGGTTTTCAATTTTCCCGATTAATTCTCCAAATTTTTGAGGTGAGTTTTTTTTTTTTTTAAAATAAAAGGAACCAGTAGAGTGGAGATTTCGTGTAAGCAGTGATCTTGTTGAAGTCATGTTTGATATCCAAGGAATCTGAAGCGCTTTGGATACTCTGCTTCTAAGTTGAGTTTTGAAGTGGAGTCTCCAGTTCTGTTGGTTAGCTGCCAGTTTTTGTTGTTGGTATCGGATTTATGGTCCAGTCGCTAACATTTGTTTCGTCAAATTCAGATTTATGGTATCAGTTTTTGTTCATTTGTTGTTGTTGTTTATCCACTTGTTTCCATTAAAGCATGTTATGTAATATCCCGCTTCTTCTAACACTATGAAAATATGCAATGTCATTGAAATTCAAGAAGTTTGGTTTGATCTCTTATAGTTTCTTCCGTCTTTTTTTTCTTAGCATTTCTTTCGGCATCGCTTGCGCTTCATTGAGCCTGTATAACACTCCTTTCACTTTTTTATTTCTCATTCACTTTGTTGGAATTCCCTCAAGTTTTAGCTTAATAGCACACATTTTGGGTTGTGTCCATTAGAATAACATGGTTATGGTGCCGAATAAAATTTTCTTTAACAGAGCAATCGTTTTTCCCTTTGTTTTCAATTTTCAAATCAAAAGACTCTTTTGAGTTAATTCATTCCGGTTATCTCTGCACTGGCTTTTCAACAGAGTACTGCAACTGAATTCAATGCTTTTATTCTTTCTTGTTCACACGATCTTTTTCTTTTTGTATTCTTGAATGTAGGTTTTGCAATTTGTAATGCACTTTTTTTTTTTTTTTGACCTTTTTCTTTTCAGGTGGTTTTGCTTTTGCTTCTAGCATTCAATGGGGCTGCGGAACAGAATGTGAAAGAAAGTGATGGACATTGTAAATATGCTAGGTCTTTGGAACCCAGACCACACAGTGTATCTATTTTAGAATTTGGTGCAGTGGGTGATGGCAAAACACTAAACACTGTTGCTTTCCAAAATGCAATCTTTTATCTCAAGTCTTTTGCCGATAAGGGTGGTGCTCAGCTGTATGTTCCATCGGGCAAGTGGCTTACTGGCAGCTTTAACCTTACTAGCTGCCTTACACTCTTCCTCGAAAGAGGTGCTGTTATTCTTGGATCCGAGGTGCGTACTTTCATTGTAACATTTTGTACTAAAGTTGGAAATATCCGGAAAAGAATTTAAGCTTAAAATATAATGTGGTCATAATAGAGACAATATGACGCATTCCATTTGCGGTGATTCTTGTTTTGTAACGAAGTTCCTTTTTGGACACATAAGGGACTTGAATTTTTGGACTTTCATGCTTAGCTTTTATAGCTTTAACAGGATTACTCGCACTGGGAAGTAGTTGAACCTCTCCCATCATATGGTCGAGGAATTGATCTGCCAGGTGGAAGATACCGTAGCTTGATCAATGGAAACAATTTAATTGACGTGGTGATAACAGGCATGGATATTTCAACTTTCGAGTTTCCTGATAATTTTGTCTTCTTTGTAGGCTTTTAATTAAAGTTCTGACATTGACATTTACATATATCCTACTTACAATCAACTGCACCAGGTGATAATGGAACTATTGATGGGCAGGGCTCTGTCTGGTGGGAGCTGTTCAATTCCGGTGAATTAAAACACAGCCGGCCGCATCTTGTGGAATTTATAGGTTCTAAGGATGTCACTGTTTCAAACTTAACTTTCTTGAACTCCCCTGCCTGGAACATTCATCCCGTATATTGCAGGTACTATTATCTTGTAAGTTCTCTTCGAGTTGGCTCATTTGTTCCACTTCAATTATTTCCAAATTATATCTAGTCTAATCTATGCAAGGTAGGGTTTGATTTCACGAATTGAAAATATACCTTGTGTGTACCTTATACAGTAATGTGCAAGTTCAAAACATAACAGCTTATGCCCCACCAGACTCCCCTTACACTTGTGGTGTAGTTCCAGGTTTGGTCAAAATGTCAATATCTTTTGAGTGAATTCACTGGTTATATAGTCTGTACCATGTCTATCACTTAAAAATTAGCAATTAAAAACCATTTTTCAGATTCGTCTGAGTATGTTTGCATTGAGAAGAGCAACATTAGCATGAGTTATGATGCAATAGCTCTGAAAAGTGGTTGGGATGAGTATGGAATTTCCTATGGCAAAGCTACCACAAAAGTCCACATCAGGGAAGTTCAGCTTCAGTCTTCTTCAGGTTCTTCCTTAGCATTTGGCAGTCAGATGTCCGGTGGCATCTCTGACATACTCGCGGAGAACATTCACTCACGTAACTCAGTTGTTGGCATCAATCTCAAGACAACTAGAGGCAGAGGTGGTTACATGAAAGACATTACTGTCTCCAATGTCGAAATGGAGAGTGTCCATATGGCACTTCGTTTTACAAGTGACTTCGGCTTGCATCCAGATGACAAATTTGATCCAAAAGCACTGCCAGTTGTTACTAGGATCACATTTAAGAATATGGTTGGCGCGAATATAGATGTTGCTGGGAATTTTTCGGGTATAGATGAATCTCATCTCACATCAATCTGTCTCTCAAATATTACTCTTTCTATCACTTCCAAATCTTCTGCCTCCTGGTATTGTTCCAATGTGATAGTTTCCTCAGAGGCAGTGTCTCCTGAACCATGTTCCAATCTTCATACTTCTTTTTCAAATTCATCCTCCGATTGCTTCGTTCAATTATACCCATTTACTCATGGTACATCTTTATGAGATCGCAATTATTTCATTCCTTTGTACATGGGAGAGTTAAAAGTTTTTCTTTAGTTACTCCAATTCACAATTTTTGTTTGTTTAAATAATTATATTTCTAGTCTTTCATCTTCAATTTCTTATTTCATTTTAATCATTCTCAATCTCCCCAAGCAATTCTTCCAAAGCGGTGCCACATCTATGATCATATGCTCGTGTANTCATTCCTTTGTACATGGGAGAGTTAAAAGTTTTTCTTTAGTTACTCCAATTCACAATTTTTGTTTGTTTAAATAATTATATATCTAGTCTTTCATCTTCAATTTCTTATTTCATTTTAATCATTCTCAATCTCCCCAAGCAATTCTTCCAAAGCGGTGCCACATCTATGATCATATGCTCGTGTACAGCTTCAATTGCTTGTTCAGTACAGCTCAGAATCATAATGCTTTCATTTTTTGGTCAATAAAAGTTCTGGTCTTATTATTTCACAATGTAAACTTGTGCAATAGATTGCTACCTGAGTTGGTCTACAATGTTTTGGCTTAGTCTTGTTAAAATAAAGAGATGCCTTTCCAAACACATAATAACTTTAAAACTTATGAGCCCTGCGGCACTAAAGAAAAAGGATGTAAAAAGAACAATCATCAGTCCCCTTTTTGTTTAATTCACAGAAATAGATTTTGACTCATTGTAATATCAGCTTTTTCTTTCGTTATGTTCCGTTTTAACTTGGTTATAACACTATTGATCATACTGAATCAGTCCCTTTCTGTTTGAGATTATTACCATAAGCCTCCTGTGTTTAATTTTATTTGAATACATGTTAAACAAAATTAAATGATCCTTCGGAGTCCATGACGATACCTTCCAGTTTGGGTCAACGAAAAAAGGAATTTTGGTTCTGACTTGCATTGCATACTGATGGCTATGCAAATATATACGTGTCAGGAGACAGGGTATATATGTCAGAAAGAAAGATAACTCCATAGGAAATATTTGCCTAACCTTGAACAAATAAAAATTGTTGGTGAAGGTCTGCCATGTCTGAAAGTGACAGACAAGCTACGTACAAAATTTTTCTCGATGCCTTAAACCAAGGACAGAGCAAACGATAAGCTATCAAGGTACATTAATTGACTGTGAAGAGTGTTGAACCCAAACAAATTCCTCAACGTAATTTATACTTGTCTCACACGAGCCTTCACATGTGTACACAACTACAGTTGTCCAATCAAGAGAATCCACATCATTCTTTACATCGAAGTAATAAAGTAGCTGCGGCAAGATCTGAGACCACCAAACAAACATTAATATTTACCTATCACTTTTACAAATTTGAAATTTGAATTCCATAAAGGAATGGAACATAACATGAAAATGATAAGCCCAAAAATAGAAATGATAAAGGAATACTATATACTCTTTAAGTAACTGTCATATCAAAAAACCTTTATTTCCTCTCTGTTTTGTTTTGTTTTGTTTTTTCTTTCACATTGCAAGGATCTATGAGCTTTAATTCGAACAAAAGAAGGCTAGAGTACACAATAGCACACCTGGAATTCAAAACACCGAGGACCACCACAGTAACTGCAATTCGGAATATCTCCCTTTGATGGCCGGCCACTTGACATGGGCCATAGGGCTTGAGCACTGGCATTCCTACAATACCTGTTATTTTGAGGGGGAAAATGAAAAACAAAGAAAGAAAAAATTAAATAAGGTGAAGGATGTGTAAGCTTCAGAATCATCAGCAAGCGGGTATACGCTTATACACTCAAATCTAGAACATCCAAGACTGATGGCATATACGCAAATCAACCAATAGTATTGAAATAAATTATGCAGGAAAAAAGTAATCACAATTCTTAGATTTAACTTGGCCAACAACGACAAAAGGTTATATATTATTTATCTATAAACATGCCATTTTGAAAATCATAAGTATCTCATTACCTTAAAACTTGTTCAGGGGCTTTGGCTATACGCTCTTGGAAAGAGGCCCAACTCTTTCGGTCACCATCTCCCTAATCAACATCCAAGATTGTATGAGATTTATGCAAGAACTCATAATTTCTGATTATGATATAAATGCAGTCAATACCTCAAAATCGTTCATCAATGACTTCATTGTATCATCCATTCCTGCCTTAGATATCAATGAACCAGCATGTCCATCATCTTCAGACATTTCCATGTCATATTCACTTTCATCCTCATTTACAATCTCATACTCTGGCCATAGACTGTTGCTCGCAACTGTTTGCAAATCAAAATCATAATCAGAAATTATATCTAGTAAAACCATTAAGATAGATAAACTTCTTAGGGCTAAAGCAGATGTCAACTTCAGATTGCCTGGGCTGTTCATATAAAGGGCATGCAAATATAAAATCTAGAGTAAGAGATTTCATGCCACTAATTAGCAAGACTGAGCCTGACTCGTATATGAACTCATTCTAACCACCACTAAGCTCAGGCCGGTAAGAATAGTACCATCTATAATTGAGCACATTCTAGAAAAGCAAAGTTTCAGGTATGACATGAGACCTCATGATTATCTGATATATAAACAGTTAATCATCTAAGGTACTTATATTTAGGTTATCTTATCAACAACCAGGTGTATCATGTATCTCTTGGTAGTATAAATATAACTAGGTATATAAGTATTCCATCCAAATAATTTACTAGCCTATTTGTCTCTCTGCTGAAGTGGTTCCACCATTTGCAAAATTGGAGTGAGAAGAAAGGTTCAGCTGCTGACATTCAATTTTATGACCTGATCGCCAGTGCATGACCTTCAAGATCGAGAAAAAAAAGAGGGGGAAGGGTGTAATCATTATCGGCATGGATAAAGAATGTCCATAAAGGGAACAAAATCATTCTAAAACTAATTACCTGGTGCTTCTGTGAGCAATAATTAACTCTTCTGCAACTACTACAGACTTTATCTCCTTTCCAGGTACCACACCAATTACAGAGTGCAACTAAACAAACAAATGAAAACAATTAGCAAATGCAATGAAAAATAAATATGTATGTTCTAAAAAATATGTACTCAAACAAGTTTCTAGGCCATAGTAGTGTTCTGACACATACAAGTACCAAAATGCTGATTTAGATCTCTCAATAGTGTATAATTGTTGAGAGGTCAAAACTTGATATGGAGGCAAAAGAGAATATTGTTTAAAGATGTGGACACCAGCTCCAAACGGTGAATTATTGTTCACAAATTTTTGGATTTAAACTCCATAAGTTCCATGTATCAAAGATGACCAAATGTGATCTAGATGGTATATTATACAGAAGCATATCCAAGCCATAAGTATAGTTGACTGAAAAAAAACTCCAAGAAACAAAATAAAATTAATAACGATAAATTTAGACTAGAAGCTACCTCCAGGTGCGGTAGGTTTGTCAGTACTGTTGTATTTTGGAGGCTCACTTGAGTAAAAAGGATTAATGCGAGGCAATTGGCAACGGAAGACTTTCACACTTTACAAACCATAACAAAATCATAGAATAGAAGATAAGAAAACAGAATAAGAAAATGAAATTCAACTCACAGTCATTTTCTCATAATATACCCAAATAAAAGAATAAAAACAAAAGAGTTAAATTTTGAAGCAATACCTTCGAAATGGCTTCTCTGGTGGACGTTTCCATTGTTCATGTTGATCTCTAAGAAGACATGACATTGATGGACACATGAACAAAAATAACGTACGGTGAAATGTAAAATCCTTCTCCATAATTGGTGCATAAACCTAGGTATTCAAGAGAAACAAAAAGAATTTGCTGATATTCATGTAATTTGTTACATTGATTAGCATCTAAGAAATTTATCAAAAAATGAAATTAAACCTGAAGCACAAACTGTAACGGTTCTCCACATATGTCACAGAGACAGGACCTTCCTGACAAACTGTAACGGTTCTCCACATATGTCACAGAGACAGGACCTTCCTGATGGCAAATTAACGGGATCCAACCACGCCTAAAAGAAACGAAAAAAAAAAAACCACATATTTCAGAACAGAACCTCAATATAAAATAACTCAATTTGAATAATTCAAAAAATATATAGGTATTACAGGTGCTCCTCCAGCTTTGCTAGGAAATAAGTGGCGAAGAAGAGACCAGTGATTTTTCGGCTTCTCTACGAAACCTAATGTGACTGGCTCTTGTTCTTCGTCTTCTTCATCATCGTCTTCATCAACATCATCGTATTCATCGGCAACAATATCTTGTTCTTGTTCATCGTCATCGTTATCGTCAAGAGAGGTGATTTGGAGTCCCTTCAATTTCTCTAAAGAATCTCCCTTGGCGCCACTTTCCATTTTCTTAGGCTTGTTAAGTTAGTTTACGAGTTCAAAGTTTTACAATTTTTGTAAAATTGATGGACAATTGAACTATACCTATATAAGTGAGCTCTTCTTCTCATGACAGCGGGACAAACGGTTAGGGTTTTGCAAAACCATAAGAAGCGAAATTAGAAAGACAGGGGTTAATGATGGGCTTGACGTGAATTGGGCCTGTGGCTGGGCTTGAAATGGTGCTTTTCAAAAAAGAGCGGTAAAAGTAATAACATTGGGAAACCGTTAAAATTTCAAGTTGGTTGGTTACCACTGCTGCGCACGATGCATGCGAGTGATGTGACTACCGCAAAGGCGCAAATATATATCATCTAAGTAGATCAAATTTAAGACTTTTAAAATAATATATTCAAAAATTTTAATTAACCGTTGGATCATCCAATGGTGATTAACATATAAAATTTCGACATCATTTATTTATATATATAAAATAAAATAAATATGTTAATATAATTAAATACTATATTTTAAAGTTCCTAAAGATTTATGTTAATAAATCTCTTTTTAATTTAGTATCGTGAGTTAACCTAATAAATTTTGTTTCATCCACATGAACTCAACTAGCTTGTAAATGTGAGATACCAATCTTGAAGTTGCAGGCGCAAGCATCAAGCAATTAAACCACGAGGTTTTGATATAAATGAGCACTGTATATATTCTAGAGACTACCAAAACATTGGAGTGACAATCTGAGAGCTTATAGAAACCACTAATTAAGGTAATGGGGGACCATATATAACCAGATGAAATTGTTTTCCACTCAACATTAATTTCATAAAGACAGATTTGAGGATTCCAGACAGAGGGGGCAGTTGGCAAAGTTACGAGTTAAAGAGTATGGGTTTTTCACGTGGTTTGTCTTAAAGAGACAAACATTTGAAGCAAGTTAAAGAAATTTTATTACCCATTCCATCTTTTCAATCTATATACATTATGCAACTAGTGTTACTAATATGACTGGTTTGATTGTTATTGTGACTGTAAAATTATTTGAAAGGGAATCTGCAGATGGACTACTTAAATTTATTTTCAGTTCACTTAGCATTGGCAATAATTTAAAAGTAATATTGCCACAGCCTTTCTAACAGAAATCAAATTAATGATACAAGGAATTAAGATTTAAGCTTCAAAATTCAGCTGACACGAATTTTCTTCCTAGCAGCTTGAGAACTATTTCAGTCATTCTGAAATTTGATTCTTTCCTTCTCCCCCATCATGTCCATTAATAATCCTTGAAGATCTCTCAAACTACATCCCTTTTAATAAAACAAAATCCTAAAATGTCAGATTCCAAATATCTGCAGCAAGGACCATGTCACATATTATGTAGAATAAATCGCAACATGATTAGCGATATCATTACTGTTTGCTTATGTTAATTAAATATATACCTATGGGTTCACACTTTTCATCATCAAAGCCATTTCTTGTATGAAATCACGAAAACCCTGTTTCCCATGATTCCACAGCATCCAATAACCATCACAATAAGGAACTTAATTAATTGAAAAATGAATTATGCAATAAATGAAACTCACTTCATCCTCATCATCAGCGAGGAGACTCAATAATCCAGCATCGTACACTCTTCTCTTTCCTTTATCTGATAAAACTGAAATGATACACCAACACACTTAGCCGTCAGCTGCAATCTCTCAAACTCAAATCTAAACAAATTTATCAGTTGTTTTTTCTTATAAATATAGCTGCATAAGCCTCTTGTATTCGCTGAAATCTCCGTTTCGCTTCTGCAGCAACCAATGGGTCTTTCATCCATCTATCCGGATGCCATTTCTTAAAATCCACGTAAATATATATAAAAATAAAATAATTAATAGCTCAAAGCACATCATGAATTATATGTGTATACATTAAATTAACGAAGAAGAAATATAATAATCAATGTCTTACCAGAGCAAGCTTCCGGTAAGCGTCACGGATCTCAGAAGCAGAAGCTTGTTTACGTAAGCCTAACACGGAGTAATAACAAGTTTTGGTGTTAGACATTTGTATAGAGCCAATGATAGAAAGCGTGCAACAGAAGAAAGAATTAATGTAGGAGGAGTTTTTGACTTGAAAATTTTATCGACTACTTTAGTTGGTTTGTGGGCTTAACAGAATGCCTTTCTCATTATAAAATTATATAAACATAAATTTCTGACTTCGTTTTGTATCTGAAAAATAAAAGCAGGTGTGATAGAAGGTTCCAGAGGTTTCCGTTTTAACATTAATTTGCATTGTAGTCCACAAATTGCGAGAACATTTGCTTGTTGGGAACATCAGCTTCAGAAAATGTGGTGGTCCGTGGCAGTAATTGGTTTGTAGCCTACATTAATCGACTCTTGATGGGTACTTAATTATGTATTCTGTTGAGGAAAGGGAAGGTTAATCTTTTATTTATTCAATCGGATTAAATAGGATCACGGCATGATCTTGTCCCTCTCCCAATGCTTCATTACACCGTAATGCCCAGGCAAAAAAAGGTGACTTGTTTCCTCCTTTGTCGAAATTTTTATAGATAATTTTCTCAATTTCAGGTTATTTAGCCATAGGTTTCCCAATCACATTATCAAATAATGTTAATGAAACAATTCTAACAATTGGAGAAGAGTAATAACCCGTAAAATGCTTGAACAAAGATAAAGAAAGTAAAAAATTGAAAAATAGAGAGATAAAAAGCTGAAACCAAAGTCCAAAGTTCGGGGAAATCCAAATCATTACAATAAGCCCCATTTTGGTGTTTCATTCAGTTAAAAATAGTGGAATATAAACAAAAACTGTCACCAAAATCAAGCGCAGTCAGGATACATTACAATTGCTTAAGTCTCGCCACTACACATAACATATCAAGAGCAACTGGATTTATTGCTGCATTTTTACTATAATATTATAGAACAAAAAAAAATGAACAAAATAACGAACCTTTCGCTTTCTCTCTCTCTCTAAAGAATTGAAGAAAATCAAAGATTAAAAAAAAAAAAAAAAAAAAATCACCCTGTGAACATGGCTAACAACACTGCTATTTTCTATTTCCAGTTTTCCGTTTTCCATCAGCAGAAGCAGGCTGCCTCCCACCTCGGTGTAAAGGAACACCAACCCCGTTTGCTAGTTTTCTTGAAGGTGAAGCGCCTAGCATAGGATTTAGGTTCCTGCAAGAAAGTGATCAAAGTTAGGTTTTAACCTGTGAGTTCGCCAAATATAACAACTGCACTGGTACTATAATTACCTTATTTCTAGGTTCTTTGCTGATTTTAAATTTTGCTTTTTGGTCTTTGACTCCATGCCATTGGTTATGCTTGTAAATTTGGACTGATTAAATTGCCAAAGCAAATCAGGTTCAGATGAATCACTGGTAGCAGCATCAATATCATCTAGATCATCTGAAGTAGCAACACTGAACTGGTTGCTTCCCATGAAGAGTTGTTCCGGATAAATTTTGGAAGAATCTTGGAGATATTTCTGGTAAAAGACATCAGGCGAATGCCCATTATCTGCTTCCCAACATCCAAGAGAGTTTTCAACTCTATTTACAATATCTTGTTTGTTAACCATGACTTTATCTACCCATTCACCTGAGCCTATTTCTTTCTCATCCTCCCCATAATTTTGAGCCGGACTAACAACCGGAGGCCATGGTGGCGAATTCGCCAATAGCTCATCAAGATCAAAGCTTTGCCTCTTTTGCCTTAACACAGAGTTGGTTTGAACCTACAAAATCGGATTAAGAGATCAAAAACAAAATAATGTGAACAATATTACTGAAATAAATTAAATTGCATACGATTGTAAAACTAATCTTTTACAGATCACTGTCTCTTGTAAACACTCGGATGATCAAATGCAGTTAACAGATATTTCCCTAAATAACACTAAGTCAAATGGTAGGAGCTGCCCACAGTAAAAGATTAGTCATGGACATAAAACCATTTACACTCTAATGTTAGAAAAAACTTGAATATTATTTTTCATCATTAATATGCAAGAATAAAGAAACTCAAAATTTTCATCCACTGAGGATAGGAAAATGGAAGTACCTCTACATCACCCATGGCTTGCCGATAGCTGTTTTGGTCACCCAAAATATCTCCAACCCGTTGGTTAGAAATAAAAGGTGATAACTCGCTAGTTTTTGTTCTATATCTTTCAGAGCTGCCAGCCATTGAATGTTCTTGATCTCCTTCTTTCCTTGCTAATGCAGCCTTAAGGCTGGCAATCTGAAAGATAATTAAGATGTTTTAACACAAAGAACTTAAATTATCTTAATAGTATCAAGAAGGAGATAAAAGGTATCTGAGAGAGCAAAAACCTGTTCTTTCAACTCTTTAACATCTGAACTATCTTTGTTCACTCGAGCAGCACCAAGTTCAACAGTGGCAACCCTCTCTGCAAATTTAAGTGTACTTATTGTTTCACCAACGGCATCAGGTTCAGGGCTTATGTGAACAAACATTAGTGTCTTGGCTTGCCCCCCTGAAAATGGAACCCCAAAAGAGGAGTAATTATAATGTCAAGAAAAGAAAAAAGGAACATAGTTCTTTCCACAATGAAAATATCTGTTTCCATTAACTTACCAAGTGAATCTTGGAGCAATTGTGTGAGTTTGCTGTTTCTGTATGGGACATGTGGGTTCTTTTGCGCAAGAGAAGAGATAACATCTCCTAACGCTGACAGAGATTTGTTAATGTGCTGTGCCTCTTTCAGTCTATCTCCAGTGACCTCGGATTTGTTTACCCTCTCACTTCCTGCCAGATCAACCAGATGCATGCATCCACGATATAACATTCCAGAAGTCAAGTCTCTTCCGTGAACATGCACAGTCAAGCAACTGCAAAAAGATAACATAAAAATGAGTCTAGAGCAAAAGATAATGCTAAATTAATCATGCAAAGAGAGAAATAAAATATTACCTATGAGAACGACTACTACGATCATTCAGGGCTGTTGCACCGACTGCACGGTTCTTTTGTCCAAGGTTCATTAGATCAATAACATCAACTGTTGATGAAACAGGAATAAGGCTTGCATCCGGAACATTAAGACCAGTTTGAGAACTGTTGCGAATTTCTAATGTGGCAATAGATTAAGGACAAAACCTAGGGTATGAAAAAAATTTGCAGAGAACCTATGTAGAATCAAGAAACCACACACATTTTGTCTAAGCTGTAAATTGCTACAAAAACTGTAACTTATGAGAAGATTTTCAAAACGACATGGGAAGCAAAATCAAATATAAAGGATATCTTTTGTTACATCCATCAGTAACAAGCAGGTCCCTGACTTGCTCATTATAAATCTCCAACATCTGAACAGCAATGTTATAGCGGAACATATCCTTTCTCTGGTCTGCTAGAAGAAACAAATCACCTAATGCTCTGTAATTAACACCTTGACTTTTCTCAGTGAGCTCCCTGGGACCACTCTAAAAATGCAAACAGGAAGTAAAAAAAAATTTCAGAATTTTATCAAACACCATTAGAGGTATGTTATCATATTTTTATTAAACATGTCTCAAGTAAATCTTACCATAGTAAAAGTTTTTCCAGATCCCGTTTGGCCATATGCAAATATACAGACATTGTATCCGTCAAGAACTGATCGGATCAGTGGCTGCATATCAGAGAACACCTCCGCTGGAATACAATATTACAGCAATCTGTAAGTAATGTTCAGAATATAGCCAATCTGGGAAGGAAAATATTGAAGGAGAAAGAACCCTATATGTACTAACCCTGTGTTGCAGATGGCCCGAAAACTTTGTTAAAGCTGAAGGACTTGTGTCCTTTACCATACTTAGATGGGGTGTTAATTGTGATATTCCCCTCTTCTATATGATCAACCGAGCTCAAGTAATTTGACTGTCCAGATAAGAATGGTCTCACTCGACAGTAGACACGGATACTTCCTAGGAAAACAATATAAAACCAATTAATCCATTAAAGTTGTTAAATACAATACGAACACAAACACAAAGCTTTATGCAACCTGTTTCTTACCCTTGAGGTCCTGCACCTGATTGTATAGCTTGCGATTTTCCTCCAGAACTCTGTGATAACCAGACGCAGCATGAGCTAGACCATGAACGTGCATACCTATAAACAAAGACAAAGATTTGATAACCATGAGACAATTAGTCCTTTTGTCTTTAATTAACTGCACAGCTCACTCTCTCCACAAACACCAATACTCTTAAATAGGAAAAAGAAATTAATAAATTATATATATGAACCCCTACCTAGATTGTTGAACTCCTCATGAAATTTCATTCGCATAAACTGCATACCAGCTTTTGTAGTATGAATGGTATGCTTTAGTTCCTGAAAAAAAGAATTGTCCCTCAGTGCATCGTGGCTAACAACACTGCTATTTTCTATTTCCAGTTTTCCGTTTTCCATCAGCAGAAGCAGGCTGCCTCCCACCTCGGTGTAAAGGAACACCAACCCCGTTTGCTAGTTTTCTTGAAGGTGAAGCGCCTAGCATAGGATTTAGGTTCCTGCAAGAAAGTGATCAAAGTTAGGTTTTAACCTGTGAGTTCGCCAAATATAACAACTGCACTGGTACTATAATTACCTTATTTCTAGGTTCTTTGCTGATTTTAAATTTTGCTTTTTGGTCTTTGACTCCATGCCATTGGTTATGCTTGTAAATTTGGACTGATTAAATTGCCAAAGCAAATCAGGTTCAGATGAATCACTGGTAGCAGCATCAATATCATCTAGATCATCTGAAGTAGCAACACTGAACTGGTTGCTTCCCATGAAGAGTTGTTCCGGATAAATTTTGGAAGAATCTTGGAGATATTTCTGGTAAAAGACATCAGGCGAATGCCCATTATCTGCTTCCCAACATCCAAGAGAGTTTTCAACTCTATTTACAATATCTTGTTTGTTAACCATGACTTTATCTACCCATTCACCTGAGCCTATTTCTTTCTCATCCTCCCCATAATTTTGAGCCGGACTAACAACCGGAGGCCATGGTGGCGAATTCGCCAATAGCTCATCAAGATCAAAGCTTTGCCTCTTTTGCCTTAACACAGAGTTGGTTTGAACCTACAAAATCGGATTAAGAGATCAAAAACAAAATAATGTGAACAATATTACTGAAATAAATTAAATTGCATACGATTGTAAAACTAATCTTTTACAGATCACTGTCTCTTGTAAACACTCGGATGATCAAATGCAGTTAACAGATATTTCCCTAAATAACACTAAGTCAAATGGTAGGAGCTGCCCACAGTAAAAGATTAGTCATGGACATAAAACCATTTACACTCTAATGTTAGAAAAAACTTGAATATTATTTTTCATCATTAATATGCAAGAATAAAGAAACTCAAAATTTTCATCCACTGAGGATAGGAAAATGGAAGTACCTCTACATCACCCATGGCTTGCCGATAGCTGTTTTGGTCACCCAAAATATCTCCAACCCGTTGGTTAGAAATAAAAGGTGATAACTCGCTAGTTTTTGTTCTATATCTTTCAGAGCTGCCAGCCATTGAATGTTCTTGATCTCCTTCTTTCCTTGCTAATGCAGCCTTAAGGCTGGCAATCTGAAAGATAATTAAGATGTTTTAACACAAAGAACTTAAATTATCTTAATAGTATCAAGAAGGAGATAAAAGGTATCTGAGAGAGCAAAAACCTGTTCTTTCAACTCTTTAACATCTGAACTATCTTTGTTCACTCGAGCAGCACCAAGTTCAACAGTGGCAACCCTCTCTGCAAATTTAAGTGTACTTATTGTTTCACCAACGGCATCAGGTTCAGGGCTTATGTGAACAAACATTAGTGTCTTGGCTTGCCCCCCTGAAAATGGAACCCCAAAAGAGGAGTAATTATAATGTCAAGAAAAGAAAAAAGGAACATAGTTCTTTCCACAATGAAAATATCTGTTTCCATTAACTTACCAAGTGAATCTTGGAGCAATTGTGTGAGTTTGCTGTTTCTGTATGGGACATGTGGGTTCTTTTGCGCAAGAGAAGAGATAACATCTCCTAACGCTGACAGAGATTTGTTAATGTGCTGTGCCTCTTTCAGTCTATCTCCAGTGACCTCGGATTTGTTTACCCTCTCACTTCCTGCCAGATCAACCAGATGCATGCATCCACGATATAACATTCCAGAAGTCAAGTCTCTTCCGTGAACATGCACAGTCAAGCAACTGCAAAAAGATAACATAAAAATGAGTCTAGAGCAAAAGATAATGCTAAATTAATCATGCAAAGAGAGAAATAAAATATTACCTATGAGAACGACTACTACGATCATTCAGGGCTGTTGCACCGACTGCACGGTTCTTTTGTCCAAGGTTCATTAGATCAATAACATCAACTGTTGATGAAACAGGAATAAGGCTTGCATCCGGAACATTAAGACCAGTTTGAGAACTGTTGCGAATTTCTAATGTGGCAATAGATTAAGGACAAAACCTAGGGTATGAAAAAAATTTGCAGAGAACCTATGTAGAATCAAGAAACCACACACATTTTGTCTAAGCTGTAAATTGCTACAAAAACTGTAACTTATGAGAAGATTTTCAAAACGACATGGGAAGCAAAATCAAATATAAAGGATATCTTTTGTTACATCCATCAGTAACAAGCAGGTCCCTGACTTGCTCATTATAAATCTCCAACATCTGAACAGCAATGTTATAGCGGAACATATCCTTTCTCTGGTCTGCTAGAAGAAACAAATCACCTAATGCTCTGTAATTAACACCTTGACTTTTCTCAGTGAGCTCCCTGGGACCACTCTAAAAATGCAAACAGGAAGTAAAAAAAAATTTCAGAATTTTATCAAACACCATTAGAGGTATGTTATCATATTTTTATTAAACATGTCTCAAGTAAATCTTACCATAGTAAAAGTTTTTCCAGATCCCGTTTGGCCATATGCAAATATACAGACATTGTATCCGTCAAGAACTGATCGGATCAGTGGCTGCATATCAGAGAACACCTCCGCTGGAATACAATATTACAGCAATCTGTAAGTAATGTTCAGAATATAGCCAATCTGGGAAGGAAAATATTGAAGGAGAAAGAACCCTATATGTACTAACCCTGTGTTGCAGATGGCCCGAAAACTTTGTTAAAGCTGAAGGACTTGTGTCCTTTACCATACTTAGATGGGGTGTTAATTGTGATATTCCCCTCTTCTATATGATCAACCGAGCTCAAGTAATTTGACTGTCCAGATAAGAATGGTCTCACTCGACAGTAGACACGGATACTTCCTAGGAAAACAATATAAAACCAATTAATCCATTAAAGTTGTTAAATACAATACGAACACAAACACAAAGCTTTATGCAACCTGTTTCTTACCCTTGAGGTCCTGCACCTGATTGTATAGCTTGCGATTTTCCTCCAGAACTCTGTGATAACCAGACGCAGCATGAGCTAGACCATGAACGTGCATACCTATAAACAAAGACAAAGATTTGATAACCATGAGACAATTAGTCCTTTTGTCTTTAATTAACTGCACAGCTCACTCTCTCCACAAACACCAATACTCTTAAATAGGAAAAAGAAATTAATAAATTATATATATGAACCCCTACCTAGATTGTTGAACTCCTCATGAAATTTCATTCGCATAAACTGCATACCAGCTTTTGTAGTATGAATGGTATGCTTTAGTTCCTGAAAAAAAGAAAAAAAAAAAAAAAAAGATAATCATAAATTCTCTAATTGATTAAGGAAACATATCAAGGAAAATAGAAGGAGATAGAGATCCATCTAAACTTGATTCTACCTGAATGTCTCTTTGTTGCTGATCAAAGATCATTTGCTGTTTTAGAGACCGACTTTTTAGTTCCTCTTCAGGAATGTAATTTTTATGAAAGCATTCCTCCTTCTTTGTCACTTTGTAGTTTTTGCCTTCTGGCTGAATCATCATAGAAACAGACAAAAACGCATTAGAAGTTTGAGTTACATGTTTATTGATGATAGTAACCTATAGGACCTGTCGACCTGATCACAAGGTAAAAGATCAACAAATCACCTTTTTATCGACAACAGCAGATTTCAGCAGAAACTCGCCATGAGCAGCAGCTATATCTTTTGGAGCTGTTTTCTGCTTCCAATTAAAAAAAAAAAAAAATGATAATTAGTAATACGAATCTATATGACTATATTCTAGAATGAATTCATTGATAAAAAATAAAAAACTTATATACTTGTTCATATTGGCTTGCAATGCGATGCTCAAACTCCTCCACTAGCTTGCTTAGCACCGATTCTACCAACTATTCAAGCAGAAGATGACATGAATAAGTAGCAGATACAACAGCAATAAAGTATAAGCAATTATAGTAGCAGAGCGGTAAATGATGTGGTTCAATGGAACAAACACTTAACAAACACATTATAAAACCTTACTGTTGGAACTTCTTCAGGCTTCTTATCTAAAAGAACCGCACGAACAAGCATACTCAATGAACCAGAACTTGACTGCAAAGAATTGTATGAAAAAAGTTATAATAAGTTATTCCTCCCCCACCCTATTATAGACTGAACTACTAATATAAATTTAACACAACTAAGCTTACCAACCATTTTATTAGAGTCAAGGTCAGAAGAGTGAGGATTTAAAGCCTTTTCATTCATTGATGAGGTTCTCGACAAGGAATTCATGAATGGCTCTGAATTTTTTCTGACAAAAGTTTTCCCCAGTGTAGTAGATTTTACATTTCCACCAAATTTCCATATTCCATGACCACCGGTCTGTTTCCACTCGCAGTAGGATTTAAGTGCTAGCACAGAATTCACAACCCTTCCAGACGTTCCAACCTGAAAATTTGGTGAAGGATGAGAAACAAAAGACCCTTTCTAGATTACAATAGCATTTTCTGTTCTTTCCTTCAACTATAAGACATACTTGTTCAAGATCAGAAGCCTCAAAAGTAGGAAGCCCCAACTCTTGCACCGCCACAAGGAAATTTCTCACATTTTCAAAGTACTGAAATGCTGACAACGCAGCTCCATCAGGAATGGGAACAGCCTCGGGACTTACGACTACCTAAACACAAATATAAAAATTAAATGTTCAAGTAAAAATATAGATTAATTATTAAACAAAAGAGAGATGGGGAGAGAGATTAAGTTTCACCTTAGGCACAGCTCCAGGTTGAATTTTGTTTAGGGCATTGCAAAGGATAATCCCACTTCTCAATCCAAGCATGAACTCTTCCTCTGAAGGCTCAGCTGGCAAATCTTTAGCCGCGACAACTCCTACCGTTTTTCTTAGCCACCCAGCGGCTTCATACCTTCTTGACGCTGTGAAAGAAAGATCCTTTCTATAATAAGTAGAAAAACTATGAATTTATCAAAGTCTTCAAATTTGAAATCCATCGACATGTATCCTTGTAGACGATTGTAAAACAGAGAAGGATAACTCAAAGATGTATTACTACATAGATATAGCAGAATTGAAGATGGGTTCCCACATTGTTTCAGCGCGCCCCTTAGAGAACGCAATGAAGAAAATAATTTTATTAAAGTAAAGACAAATGAAGTTCTGATGATTATTTAAAAAAAAAAAAATGAAATCCGAAATAGAAATTAGCCCCTGCTTGGTTGTGGAGAAACATGAGGCAAAAAAAAATGCGAATAAAGTTTTTATTTATTTGATAACGAAAGCCACCGCAGCTCAGCCGCATAATAAAAATCAACTCAATAAGTAGTATGATTTAATACCTCAAGACCCAATTTTTTTTTTCTTTCTGGTAATAAAAAAAAAAAAAAACTGAGAATTGAAAAAAAAAAATGTTGAATCAACTACTTTCTTGGACATTTAAAGCAATTGTGTTAGCATTAGAACTACCAATTGAAAAAACATCAGAAACCGCACAGAAGATAAAATTTCACACACAAATTCAAAACGAAAGTTAAAATTACAATAATGAGACAAAACGAAGAAAAAAAGAAATCAAAAGAGAGTACCGGCTTCCTCACCTTTCTAGACTCCAAATCAAGATCCCTCAATCTATGCCGTGTTGTTGCAGTACATCCTCCACTACTGAGGCGAGGAAAACGATAAGGTTCCTTCTCCCGCCATTTCGCAACGGTTTCAATTCTTCCACTCAAAATTCGACCATGAAATCGAAAGGAACAGGCAGATCGGAGAAGAGAGAGAGAAAGTGTAAGAGGAGAGGAGGAGTTGATATCTTAGTGGCGTTTGTTGCGATTGATAGTAATTCACTTACTCATAATCACATCTTCATGACCTTTTGCTTTTTCTCAATACAAAGTAGAAAGCTATCTCTGCTTTATACTCTCCCTCTCTAATATCTGTAATCCGAACCTCTCTCCGAACCTACTGCCTTCAAAACTCCCCTCTCAAGACTCTCAACAACAATAAAATTTAATTTTTTACCCAGGTCCAACCGCCTTCACCCACGTGGTAAAAAAGTTTCTCAAATGTCACTTAATTTTTCAATTATTATATATATATAACTTCACTTAATAATAAATCCATTGAGTATTGCCGCTCCCAATTAATTTGTTATGTGGATACGTAAGTCAGGTCATTCTGGCTTTTAAAAACTATAGTATGCGTTTGGTTTATATTTTATCCCTATTCTGGATCCTATTTTTCAAATCGCGTTTGGTACAATATTCTCAAATATTACCCTATTTTTTTAATTACATTTTAACCCCATAAGGTTATTAATTTCACTAAATACCCCCTGAAAAAAGTTTAAATTAACAAAAACACCCCCATCAACCCAACTTGTCAGATTCCGGCAACCACCGTCGGTGATAGCCGAATCTGTACAACGCCAAACTTCCGACCAGAATGGCCGGAAGTTCACCGCTGTGGCCTTTTCCGGCCAGATCCACCACGATACTGGCCGGAAAAGGCCAGATCTGGCCGCCAGCGACGGCCAAAGAAATGGCCGTCGTTGACGGTCAACGACGGCCAAATCTTGGCCGTCGTCGACCGAAAACGACGGCCACATCTTTGCCGTCGCTGACGCCAAAGATGGCCGTCGTTTGGCCTTTCCGGCCGTCGACGGCCAAAACAAACCATAGATCTGGCCTTTTCCGGCCAGATCTACCAGGATCTAGCCGGAAAAGGCCATAACGATGTGTTACGGCACAGATCCGACAAGTCTGTGCCGTAACGAATTTTCCGGTCAGATTCCGGCGGTGGTGGCCGGAATCTGACACTGCAGTGGGGGTGTTTTTGTCATTTTACATGTTAGGGTCTTTAGTTAAATTAGTAAACCTAAGGGCTTTTTTATAAATTTTTAAAATTTACCTCGTAATACTCCCATATCCAATAACCCATACTACCCCTAAAATCCTATCCAAAATACTAAACCAAACGCCCCATAAATATCCCTCCACTGAGTGTTCAAATTAAAAAAAAAAAAAAAAAAATGTCAAAGCATTTGTTGGTTCTATTTGTCCATTTCCTCCATGCTTGATTTTGCATAAATTCAAATATTTGGTTTGTAGGTCCTCTTAATGTCACAATTTTAAAAAATATGTCTGTTTTTAACACTGATTCAGGTAATAGAATTGAAAAATACTACATCCACAATCTATTTTCGCAACTTTCTCTTACATCCCAATGATAGCTTGTAATTGTACTAACCAACTTATTTGTCAAATCGAAATTGTGAGAGAAAGTTTGTGAAAAGAGTTGTGACATACATTACTCGAATAGAATTTGACATTCATTACAAGTAAACTAAGTTTGCTTTTGATTGATACTAGAATCATGACTCACCACCCACTAGATTCTCTATTCTTAGATTCACCAATGTATTTATGGGAAGTAGTTAACGTTAATGGTTTAAGATTTGGAAAAAAAAAAAAGTAAAACATTATCTTGATATGGGTCAAAATTGAAGAGTTGTAGCAATTGGTAATGGTTAAGTTTTAAAGCCAATAATTGAATAGCAATTTTTAACATTATTTTGTTGCAATATGCACTTTCAAGAAGTGGAAATGTTTGGTGAAAACGGTTACCAACCTTGCTATCTTGGCCCATAATCATTCATTTATTTAACCATATCTCATAAACAGATCATGACCTTACAATCTAAGTATATATCTTTTTCTGTTTTTACCAACTACGTATCTGATTTTACATCTCCTCTCTATTTAAATATTCATCCTACATTTTGATTTATATGATATATTTTGGTATTTCAAATTTCTTAATAAACATGGTTTACAATTGTAAAAGTGCCATATTTACTTAATCATGAGTCCAAAACTCTAGGCTGTAAGTCAATGAAGATTCCAGAGTCAGAGAAACCCCAACCAATGATATGACCTTCAAATTGGAGGAGGGAGGCCACATGTTACCATTCAGATACTGCCTGTAGCTTCAACGTTCGAAAAATTCAAATCTACGCTTTGGTGCCAAACCTAATAGGTTCGGCAACCATCAGCCCCACGTAGCGCGGCTTTTTGGGACCCACTCAGGGGCTTCGGCAGGCTTTTAAGTTTTAATATACATATTATTCTTTCCTCTAAGTTTTTGTTACGTTACAGCTTTTTCAGATAGTTTTAAAACAAGCCACTTAACAGTAGCCACGTAGCTTGTGGAACGCCAGTTGTCTTGTAAGTGTTGATCTCTGAAGTCACCGTTCATATGATAAATAAAAGGGAAATTAAAGAAGAATCTATTTTGGATAATAATGTGGACGTTGCTTATTTTAAGGAAGTCGTGGATGTTATCATGTCATTAATTAAAATACCAAATAAATTACATAGGATTAATGACGTGGATTTGTAATCAACAATTTAAGTAATTCAATAATGATTTCCCAAATAAAGGGAGAAATTAATTAACTTAAGAAATAAATAATTGCCAAGTTAAAATCAAAAGGTAGTTAATTAATGAACTATAATTGCCCAAAATGGAGTGTGATAATGGTTGGAAATATTAGATTAATGGTTGCTTCTTCATCAATCATCACCTTCACATGTTAAGTGAACCCACAGCTAATGCTAATGCTAATGCTAATGGCCGGGTCTTAAAATGATTATATTGATGAAGTAAAATGTAAGTGCACATCACTTTCTGGAGCAGGAATGGGAATGTGCAGTGCAGATGAAGGTGGCAAGCCACATCAATCACAGGCGTCATCTTATCCGCACAATTTGTTGTTGCGCTGTAAATTCTTACTTTTAACCCCTTTTGGTTGGGTGTTAGCCTGTTAGGTAAGGAAATATTTGCCCAAAAGATTATGTAAAATGTAATTTATGAGTGTTCTACGATACAACAAGGTGGTTTGTAAACAAAGTAAAAACAATTTCAGTGCCATTCTATTCAGGTATTATTAACAAACACATCTCCCAAGAATTTGATTATAAATTTTGACAAAATAACTTAAGAAAAAGATACTTTTGATAAATTACACTGTACCCCATACGTAATTCATTTGTTTTTAGCACCATAACAACAGTTGTTTAGTGGTGGTGTCTCTTCAATCAACTGTGGCCCAAAACCAACCAAAAGGATTGAAAGATTGCCATTTACTAGACACAGTATAAAGGGGTTAACTTTAGGGTTCCAGGTTGAAGATGACAAAACCCACCTAGTAAAAGAATCAATACTTCCCCCATGTTATAGGCAAAAGTTAAAGCACCCATAATCATTATAATGATTAATGTTAGCTGGCTGGAATGTAAAAAGTTTAATGAAGGAAAATTTATTTGCTTGGATCAATCCAATCTGGAAAGCAAACTCCACAGCAAATCTAACTTAAGGTAGGTGTATAAAAAAGTCTAAGCCTTAATTTTAAAGAATACACAGTTTGTTCAGGAACCAACAACGCCAGTAGGTAGTTAATTTTTAGGTTTTTTTTTTTTGAGGAGTATGAGTATCCAAAGAAGTGCTGGTTGCTACTTGTTTAGTTTTTATCTTAATTAAAGTAGTGTGTGTCCATAGAAAAAATAAGAGCACAAAGATCATCATAGGTGGTTCGTCCTTTATAATTTAGAAGTGGGGCTTACCGACTGCTAGCATTCCCAAAAATCATGAAAACCTTGCACTCCTATTTCTTTTAATGCCTCTCTGCCTGTAATCTATTAAGTGGAACCGACCAAACTATGATGGAAGTTGAAAGGGCAGCCTTTTGCTCCTCACTCTCCCCTGTAATTATTCTCAGCTTCATTTTGTTTCTGATATTTCAGCATCACCCACTAAAATATCTACTAACAAAACCCAGTTGATGAGAGAAGGCTTCGAGTATTAACTCACACTAAACGGGCCTCTTTAACATGTCTAAATCTTACAATGAGAAGATGAGTGAAGTTCAAAGGAACAACTTTCTTAGCTCATGAGTTGTCAAATACTCGAATTATGGGGATTTCCCCTTTATTAGTACTCTTATTACTGGCAATGGGATGTAAAGAGACAGACGATTATTCTAATTAAAGTCCATATGTTTTAGCCCCGAAGCTTTTGAGTGGGGTATGTCATTAAAGGGCACATAATTCAATTCTATTATGGGATAAGAGTTCCCATAGCAACATGAATAATATAGCAAAACTTGTTGGAGAAAATCCTCTAAATTGTCCATATTATCAAGCAAAAAAAATTGCATGATAGGACAAGTTGTTTGGTAATTCAACGTCTTTCGAATTGGACAACTTAACATGCTAAAGCCAAAGGTGGTGGAGAAAAAAGTAAGAGAATTTCTCTCTCTACCACAAATCACTGATACTTGTCCATGTCTAAGTTTTTATTCCTCCCACAACGAACATTTGAACATGGCTGATGTGTATACACATCTTTATCATGAATGACTGAGCTAACCCGAGCTTAGATTCATACAGCTAAAGCTATCCATCAACAACTTCTTTGTTTTTCAAACAATAAGCCCTCTCCTCCTCCCCAAAGAATGAATGGTCTTCCCGGTTAGCACGAACATAATCCAAAACCCTTTTGGACTTAAACTTCCATCCTGAACTAAAGAAAATATACAAATATCATCTACTAAAAGCCTTCCTGATGCAAAAGAAAACATACAAATATATAATCGTCCACTCACATTTCAAGAAAATGGACGGGCTGCGATTGGATTTATCATTTTACCTTTTTAGCTTAAATCTTTTAGTGGAGAGAAAGCTCAGAATCATGCATGAAGCCTTGATCTAACGCATCTTTTCGCTTGATCTAATGCCTACCTGGTTTCCCCAACCCCAAGGTCACCCATCGTTAAGGGACTTGGGCACTCCTCCATTAGGTCTCAGATTGATAGCGTCGATTAACTTTATTCATCATTTAAGCATTTAAGGTCAGTATTTTCTCATGTTTTGCAAATTGCTACAGGCATCATCAACAATATTCCTTGTAACTGACTGTAGAAAGTATTTTCTTAACTTTTATTAGCAAGCTGTGACTTGAGCCACCGTTAATATAATTTGCTTTTGCACAAAGTTCCCCTGTGGGTGACGACTGGCGAAATATAATTGCACTGAAGAGGGAAGGTGAAACCGTGAACGCCCACACGGCCGAACATAATACACAAAGCGTCCCAAGTTTTCGAGCCAGCCCAATTTTGGTAGTACCCAATAAACCTAAAACTAACATGAAAGTACAGGTACAGCCACTTTCCTAATTTTAACACCGAACGCAAAGAAAACAAGGAGAACCGCAATCAAGATTTATTCAACAATCCTTAGAAAAAAATGTTGTAATCTTAAACGTCTAAATTGTACCTTATCGTCATTATCACTGTTGGTATACATAATTGTCACGCTACCTCGGATGAAGGAGTAGTGACTAGAATATCTGAGAATGTTGTTAAAACCTACCAGGCACAGTTATTATACGCCAATAATATAGAAACTATAGTCATCACCAAACAATTTACAGCTGGTCAGATTAACCTTCTCATGTCAGAGGATGCATAATACCAAATGCTATATCTTCTTAGCGTATGGTTTATCTTCATAATGTGTGAGGCTGCTGTGAATCAGGAGGATAAAGAGATACAAGAAATCGGTGAATCATCTCAAAGCTGGTAAATGTAATAACAGCAGCTGGCGTTGTCCTGATAAGATTGGTTGCACACCCACGATAAAAACCTGGGACACCTTCTTGATGAAACACTTTCTTAATACAATCAACCATACCTGAGTATCGCTTCTCAGAGTGGTGGCCTTGTTCTTGAAGCCTTGAGCGTACCACCTATACCATTTCAAAATTAAACATTTTATCATTGTCTTATTCAAACTGCTGTGAAACTAAATCATTAACATGAAATGGTGAAGAACCAATCACCCAAAATTGCAATGATTTATCTAGCCTAGGCTATACAGAGTGTCTTAACGTAAGATTCCCATTGCAACAACAACTAAGGAGACAGTTTGTGAATAATTAATAAAAAGTCCCAAGATGATATGAAGGTTTAAAAGAAACATCGTTTTAGGAATATATGGAAAATGTAAGCCTCTTTTTATCTTAGACAAGTTAAAAGGTCTGAAATGAGGCTCAAGGAGATGGAGTGTAATGGCCATTGGACAAACTACTTTTGGATTGGGGGGTTTCAAGTCAAAATTTTCTAAAATAACAACAATATGAGAAAGTATGAGAAATTCCCAAATTATGAAAAAGAAAGGTCAGCATACCTCATGTGGATAAGTCAATGTGGATGCAAATATTTTAGAGACAGATGAAGCAACCGCAACATCACGTGCGCCCAGTTTATCCATTGTAGTGTTATCTGATACGAACGGATTCAATAAAACACAAAATCTTCTTTGATAATTTTACAACCAAAATCCAGCAAGAAAAATTACCTTTGCTGGCCAAATACATTTTGATTTTCTCATATGTTGGAAACTGAATGGCAACATGACTTATACCAGCCAAGGCAGGCACAAGACCACTGTTCATCACACAGAATACAACAGACATCAGTAAACTTAATTCTGAGAAATAAGATTATGATCGTGGTTTAATATTAACGAATGGTGATACAGAACCTGTACAACCCACGAATACCCTCCTCAAGAGCTATTCTTCTTAAAGCAGACAGTGTACTCTGATATGGTACCACACCTGCTCTCATTCCTTGGGTCTGCAGGAAAAAGAGACAAATGTGATTGCTCAAAGCTTCAATTCTTCTAGAAGCTAATACCATATATAGATAATGAAATCCAATAAACTAAAGTAAAAACAATGCTAGCTTGTATCATCATCATCATCATTGCTAAGATAAGATGTTCAAGGATTCATGCATGTCATGACTTTAACATATACCATTTGTGACACCAAGTTACAGATAGCAATTGAAAAGATGTTTCATCTAAACTTCCATTTCTTCCAATAATTCTTCCTCCCATACCGTTTTCCACAAAACAAGGTTGTTAGTTATGACCAGCATAAGCCTTTCTTTTGGGAGTGTAACGGTGTTTATCTTGTACAAATGCATATAGTTTTAATGTCAAGAAACCAAGCCATTTATGATGGCACACAATTTTCTTAAAAGAGAGAGAACTAAAGGCAACTTAACGAGAGCAACAAACCATAAGTCAATTGCAAGAGAATTGGACTTCCATTACGCTACTACCATTGCGTCTCTATCAGTTTTCATATAATGTTCTTACATAGACTAAATAAAGATAGGAAACTGATCTATGCACCTGAAGTCTTGTCTTCACAACCCAAAGAGGATTTGTAGTAATGGTCGTTGCAGCTCCAGCACCAGAAGCAGCAATCATGTTAGCACCTATAGAAAGATGATGATTCTCATCTACACATGCAACCACAAGAAGCTATTGTTACAAATGTTCAGAGCAGAAACCAAATAACAGAGACATTGATCAAGCTCCATGATGAAGGCAATAAGTCAAGCACTAACCATCAGTGTTAAGAAAGCTTTTGAGCTGCTCATAAATTGTAAAATAAACCTGCAAAGGTTATGACCAATCAAGTGTTAACAAAACTAAAAAGTTCTGTACTCTCCCAAAAAGACAAAAGATATGAGCGTTAAAGAAATAATTTAATACCTATGTAAAGTAAGGATTCAGAACTAAACAAGTGACACACCAGCTTCTTTGTATTCTAGACTAAAGGACAACAGTCATGAAAAGCCTCATAACTCAAACCAGAATGTCTCCAAGATGATGTATCATTATTATTATTAATTTCAAGAAGGAACCATAGAACAATATAACGCATAGATAGAATTAAAACAAAGAGTTGTAATAGGAAATTGAAATAGATGCACCAAATTTATTATTGACATACCCATTAAATCATTAACAAGTAATAAACACAGGTTAGAATCTAGATGATGGAAAGCCATTACTCACCGCCCAGTTAGGAAGTAATGCCAGCACCGTGGGAGAGAGCCCACGGTACATACCACGTAATCCCTCCTTGTGAAATATTTGTTCCAAACTACCAACTATAAGACTACCTGATCAAACCAGAAACTTTCAAATTATAGCACAAACAACCATAAAAAACAAATAAAATCCTTGAGCAACAACAAGCACTATGCAACTGCCAAGATATAGTTAGAATTTGGCATAAACCGACAAAATAAAACACCAAAAGTAAATTTTTGCCATTTACAAAGCAAAAGGCAATACGTATACGCATTGACATACCTTTAATATTTTCGTTACGGAGCTTTGGAAGCCCATGAACCTGAAACCTAGTTTTTATAACATCTAATGGACAGACAAACGTAGCAGCAATAACTCCTGCACAAGATTTTCCAAACAATTTTAAAAGTAACCATAATTATTAATCAGATCATTAAGCAAATCCAAAAACAGGTAAAATATTATTAGATACTTAAGCATAGAAAAAACAAAGCGCAGATAAAAAAAAAAATAATTGTCGATATATATAAAAAAAAATTAAAAAAAATCTACATACCGGCAGCGGCACCGGAGGCAGCATTACAGAGAACGCCCCTTGAATTAGAGGCATGAGAATCCGCGGACATTTGAAGAAAGCGAAGAAATGCAAAGAATCAGAGAGGAGGCGGGGAGTTGAGCCAAAAAATTGAAGGAGTCCTCTCTGGAGAGGGAGATCGCGGTGAACCAGAGTGGCATGGCCAGCTGGTAAAGCTGTGTGTGTGTATGTAAGTGAGTAGAATGGTGGAGTTAGGGCTGGGTTTAGTTTTAAAGAGACGTGATTGAGTCAAAGCAGAATGTCGATGAGATTGAGGCGAGGCAAAGGGGTCGATTATAAGTCGCCATGAAATTTGGGAGAAGGATATTCACTTTTCTTTTCTTTTTTATAAAGATGAGGCTTTCGTTTCATCACCCCTGTACTCTACCGATCGGTCGATTCGCCACAAATGGGCCCCAAAAATCATATATTATTAATAATATACTTGTTATAATCAATTTCCATTTTCTGGGCTCCGTTTCTGTTACTGTTAGTTTTGGTTTCGATTTTTAAAATTTTACACGTAATTAATTGATACATTTAACAATTAATTACATTAATTAAGGAGAGAGTTTTCTTCTTTTTATATTTAAAAAAAGAAAAAAGCTTCGATGTGCCGTTAGCGTAAGCTAGTAAACGTTAAGCATTGCGTCCACGACGGCGGCCCATAAGGACTATGTCATAGAAACATAGACTGATTGGTTGGATTTTGCAGGCACGTGATGAGTATTAATGTTATTATAATTTAATTAGCAGCAAAGCTTATCATAATTTGTCACTGATTTGAAAAAGTAATCATCTAAATGACACAATTGATGACGCTGTCCAATGTCCATATCTTTGAATTGGAGATACAGTCAATTGGTTTATGGAAACAAAGTTTTAACCAATAATAGACTAGAAAGCCAATAATTAATATATTTTTATACTTTCTAACAACTCTGCCTATTCCACACTTGCTAAATTTGCTACTACTCCATCTTCTTTCAGTTGGTGCAAACATAGCTCAATATTTTATTTGATAAATGATATAATAATCTCACTTTACTTAAGTAATATGATAATTAACTTGTGATAAAAAAAATTACAGTATTAACAAAGGTTTTAGTGTTACTGGCAAAAATTGTTAACCATCTCATGAATCTCTAATTTTGTCAAGACAATGTGAAATTGAGACTTTGATTTACTAAAAGATTACCTTAAAAGACTAAAATGGCATCAAACATTCAAACCTCAAAAAAACAAAACTGATTTTAGCAGAAAGTTTGATGGGTATCAAGTATCAAATGGGTGTAGTTGTGATCTTACCTTACCTCCTCCAAAAGTTTGAAACAGAAAGGGACAAATGTAGGCCCAAAACTTAATACAACCAACGCCAAATAACCCTGAGGTGGTTGCGACTCTTTACCTGTTTTAAAGCTCTGGCATACTGAAACTTATAGCTATTTCTGAAGAGGCTCTTCAACAACTTCAATGTCCCATGCACAAACACTTGTTCTCAATTTCAACCACATGATTGTCCTATGGGTCAATGGCTCTCTATATCACCAAGCTGAAAGCCTGAAACCGCTTTTCTTCTTGACATGTAAGCCAATCCGAACCATCGAACTTGGGTTTCCAAATTCCAACTCATATAATGAAGCAGAAAATGACTACTGACCAGTGACTACCTCACTAGTTATAGTCTTATAAAGGTGGTTCGGGTACTGCGTCGTAACTCGTACGTAGTGAGCTGAAAACTCTGTTCAATTCAATCTATCATAAGTCCATCAAGCAATTGGGTTGCGAATACAACTGAGGATGATGGATGACGTAATAGCTGTAAATTTGGTTTATTATGCTGTTAGAGCATCTCTAATAGTGCTCTTTATTTTTAAAAGCATCCTTCATATAAATAAAAAACATCTTCATTAATTTTAAAATATAAAAACACAATTTTTATTCAAATCCAATATTCTTTAAATTTAATGAAGATGTTTTTTATTTTTAATAAAGAGACTTAATGGGAGAGATAATTAATAAATAAAATGCATAGAAACTTGGCTTCGTTTGGTTCACAATTGGGTGTTTTTGGTAAAAGTTTTTGAAAAAAGTTAAAAAAAAGTTGAATCGGGCAAGTATTACGATGTAGGATTTATAAATTAATAAAATACCCTCTATGTTTGTTTATTTACAAAACACCCCCTATAATAAAACATTAAAAGTTAACAAAAACACCCCCAATCCAATCTCAAATACGGACAGCCCGCCACCATTGCCGGAGGGTGGCCGGGTTCACCGTATTGGGGCATGACCGGCTGGATCTTGCCTGTAGTGCACCGATATGGCCTTTGCCGGCCAGATCTGGCCGTATTTGCTCGTCAACAACAACCAACAAACGGTCGTCGTTGATGGTCAACGACGACCGTTTGTTGGCCGTCGTTATCGACTGTTACGGCCAAAGACGGCCAGATCTTTGGCCTTAGATCTGGCCTTTTCCAGCCAGATCCACCGTGGATCTGACCGGAAAAGGCTAGATCGGCGCACTACCAGCTGGTAGTGCACCATCCTAATAGATTTCGGCCATTTTTCGACAGTGGTGGCCGGAATCTGGTAAATGTGGATTACTGGGGTGTTTTTGTAATTTTTTAAAAAATATTTAAGGGTATTTAATTAAATTATCAAATTTAAGGGGTTTAAAAAAAGTTGAATAATATTGAGAGTAGTATTCCCAAAAATCAGAGTTTTTGGGTATTTTACTGTTTAACTTTTTTTGGAATACTAAAAGTAGTATTCTGAAAATTGAAACAAACGAAGCCCTTGTAATTTATTAATTAAAATTAGGATAGAGAATGAAATTTAACTCTCTAAATGTGAAGAGTCATACTCACTCTCTAATTTATATTTTAAAGATAAAGAGTATGTTGGACTCTTGTTTTTATGGATAAACTCTTTATAATAAAGAGTTTGGATCATATAAAGAGTTATTTGGATATACTCTTATATTATTAAGTTTAAACCAGTCTATCTCTATTAGCTGGAGAAACAAAAATGATATGCCATTTTTTTGGAAACACTTTGATTGATAAAAATGACTATATAAAGTAACCTAGTGATTGAAATAATGGACCCCTTCATAAATCAATGGGTCTATAATTTACATGGCATACCAAACCTACTGTCCTTTATTTTATTTATTCCCTTTTTAATATTTTTCATGTCTTATGAAAAATCAGATATAAATAGAAAAAATATTATTGCAATTGTGAATAACTATTTAGAAGTCTGTCACTGTCATTCTCTTCTGCCAGAGATATTGCTTAATTCAGCGCCACTAATCTGTCTCTTCTTCTTGGACTGGCCCTTTGACGTTTACCGTCCTCGTCATATGTAGTTCATCTACGTAGACTATCCAACGACAGATAATTTGAAAGACAGTTATGACCCTAATAAATCAATTGCTCAATATACATTATTAATCTATTTATAAAAAAGCACATGGGTATTCTGGTCAAAAGATAAACACCATGGATAGTGGATTTAGCTGGTTGTCCTAGTTAGCGAGACAACCCGCCTGCTGGCACTGAGAAACACGCTATTTCTCATTTGACCAACTACTCTGCTTTTACCAAACTATTCTCCTCTTCTCATGCCATCTTCCAATTTACAAACCTTTTCGTAAATTCCACACCAAAATATACATTAAACAAAAATAAGTTATTTAATTTAAATAATTTAAAAACATGATTTGATTTCCTACCATTTACTTTATGTTTTATTAAATTAAACTCAATTATAAATAAATACAAACAAAATTAAAATTAAAACGCGTGTTTTAATTAAAAGTAAACTCTCAAGGAAACTTTTCTTCCAAAATTTTTAAAAATAAAACCTTGTGGTTTTTGGTTTAAAATTTGTATAACATTCTGTCAAGGACATAAATGTACAACAAGCTAACTACAAATAACTAAAATTGTTTTGAATTAGGTGGAGGTCAACAGAGTGTAAGGCCACATGCGTCAATTCAAGTCATGAGGCCAATATGGCCATTTTAGTGTCTACAGTGGTTGTTCAAAGACAAAGCCCAGGAGATGAATTGGTCACAAAATTTTGTCAAAACAAAACCCAGAAAAGTAAAAGCCGATTTCATTGTCATATTCATCACCTCTCTCCTCTCATTCCAAAAACTGTTATCTAAATTTACAAATCACAAATAAAATCCCAAAACACACACTCATGCCTTTCCACTCTAATTGCTCAAATTCAATTACCTCTTAAAACCCCTCCAAAACCCCTAAATACCAACTCTATCCCCAATTTCCTTTTTCTTATTTTACATTTCTCCGTTTCTACCAAACTCTCATTTCTTGATCCTTAGAATTTCTACTAAATTACCAATATGTCCAATTCAGGCGGCTTTGCTGTGACTCGTACTCACTCGGGAGACCGATTCTACAACCCGCCGGCGATGAGACGGCATCAGCAGTTGCTCTTGCAGCAGCAGCAGTTGCAGCTGCAGAGGCAGTCACAGAGGCCGTTACAGAAGGAGACTCGAGTTGACTCGGTCGAGGCAGAGACTCGGACTGAATCGGACGAGTCCACATTGTCCAGGCCTAACTCGGTCTGCTCACCGTCGGCGGGTTCTTCACCAAGAAATGCCGACATGACTAATTTGGATCGGCTCATGGAATCCGTCACTCCTTATGTTACGGTTCAGTACTTCTCCGAGGTCGGTGCAAAACTTTTCCCCTGTTTTTCTTGAGAAACTGTAAAATAGAAGAAAGTTGGAGTCTTGTTAATTTGATTTTAATCTCATTCTTTTATCATACATATTCTAAAGCATTTAATTTTGAGTGATATTGTTTATGTGGTTGTTGCTTTGAAAATGAAATTTGAGCTCTATTAAATGTTTCTTGGATGGGTTTAGTGGGGGTTTTTTGGTTTTATCAGTTTAAGGAATAAATTTACAATAAAAATTGTTAGCATCTTTTTTCACTCATATATTTTCTCTTTAACCAAACAGATGATAGTGGATATTTCATACTAATGTTTGGATCACGAATATCAATGAACGTGATGGATTGTAAACTATCTTTGTGTATTTCTTTCACTTCTTAATTAATGAACTCCCCTCATTAATTTATCACAGTGAATTATATGGAATGGAGTAAAACTTCAATCACTGGGTAAAACGGTTAAATTGAACTTAATGTTCAACTTAGTTTTTTTCTTTTTATTTTTGTTCCTTAAGTCTGTGTAATGGAGAATTAAGGATTCATTTATATTTAGAATTTCCATATGTTGTTTATTTTTTGAGCGTTCCAATAAAACTATAATATTTTTTTTTAAATTATTGATCGGTGGCTTTTGGGTCCACAGGGGAGAACGAGGGGATGGAGAAATCGTGAAGCTGATATTCAACCAGTCTTCAGTCTTGGGGATCTGTGGGAATCATTCAATGAATGGAGTGTGTATGGAGTAGAAGTGCCACTATTGTTGAATGGAAGCGACTCTGTTAAACAGTATTATGTTCCATCCTTATCAGGCATTCAATTGTATACAGACCCACGGCTGAGGTGAGCCTATTGTGTTATATCTCCTTATTTGAGTTGCCCTCTTGTAAAATTTGTATCTCTTTATAGTCATTGCTGCACTCTTGCAATGAGTTATTTGTTTAATAAATCTTTTTCCGACTGCTGCTCTTTGAATGCTTCCCTTAAGTTTTGTGTCTACTTTTATGTTGATCATCTTTTGTTGAGACATTCTTTCAGATCCCCAAACTGTTTTGTATGCTATGCATTCTTCTATAGCTAAATGGTAATTTGACTTTAGATGATATATGTTCACCATTATATTTATGTGGTGTTTAACCCTATGTGGATACATGATCCTCTTCCAATCATTTAACCAGCTACTGATTACTAATGTAGTTAATGGCCATGCTTGAACTTTGCAATTTTGTTATCTCTTTTGGAACCTTCCTTCAAGTATTTAACCATTTTTTTCCTTTATTCAGTGAAGAAAGTCAGAAACATCAGTTCATTTAGCCCTTCCTGAATTTGGCACATGTTCATGCAAGCAATTATTTAATAGTATTTTTCCCTGTTTAAATAGCAGAGCAGCTTTTCTTCCTGAGGTTTTGTTGAATTGAGTTGCTGAAACTCATTCTTGTAATGATGAACAACTAATTCCAGTAGTTGTTTTGAATTTTGTACTTTGCTTTGTTTACTTATGCACTGAAATTGTTATTTAATACTAGGTACTATTTTTGCTGCCTAATTTGAACTCGTTACTTTTTAAGTTAGCATACTCTTGTCAGCTATATACCTAGAACATGGTTAGTTTGCATGGATATCTTTGGAGGAGTAACTGATCTTTGTTAATGATGCTTTCTTCAAGTTTTCTAGGGATGAAATTGTTCATGCTGCAATTTATTGATGTTTACTATGAAATATTACTATCTGTCTCAAAACTGTTGATATATTACGATTCAAAAAGGTTGGTAAAATGAGACATTTATTATAGAGAGCTCAGCATGGTGCTCATTGGCCTCGCTAGAATAGGAGGTTGAGTTTAAGCACCTACTCTATTGTGTCCAACTTGTGCCATGTGCAGAAAACGAATGTTCTAATCAATCCCTATATTCTACTTCTTTTTCAAAGTGGGGACTTATTTACTTTTCAGTTGTCTTCTGATCTTTTAATTGACCTTCATTAAATATTGAGTCTATATGGAAACATTTTTTGTTTTAATTTTGGCCTATGAGGACTTATTATTCATTTCCTGTACTTATATGTTCCATGGATATTATCTGCATAAAGATGTAGATGACTAATGCCTTTTTTTTTTTTAAATTATTCTAATATTCCATAGAAGGCCTGGTGAAGATAGTGATGCTGAGTCTTCTAGGGAGACGAGTAGTGCTGGAAGTAGCGACTGTGAAGCAGAAAGGCGTGCCAAAGGGATTGTTGATGGAACCTGGGGCCAACACAATCTCGTGAACTTGAATTTCCAGAGATTGAACAGACTTACATTGAGAGATAAGCCTCCTATGAATTCGTCTAGTGATGAAACTGAGGTTTGCAACTCACCTGGGTCACTTGTATTTGAATATTTGGAACAAGAACAACCACACCATCGACAACCTTTATATGATAAGGCAAGTCTGTGTATATAAAGATTATTATATTTGCTTTGTCTTCATGAATATTACTTGTCCGGAGTCCATATCTTACTTTATATGAGAAGGCAAGTCCATGTTGAGTTTGCTTGACCCCTAACTGTATGCCCAGGTTTCAAGTCTTGCATCTCAGAATCCAGAGATCAGGATGTACAGGAGCTGTGATCTATTGCCTACAAGTTGGATTTCTGTGGCATGGTAAGATACCAATTGATGTTCAGCTGCTTATTCTCTCTTTCTTAATTTATTTTTTATATTTTATATTTACTATGCTATGCATATATGATAAGTTGAAACTCGGGGTCCAGGTATCCAATTTACAGAATACCTGTGGGCCCAACCTTACAAAGTCTGGATGCATCTTTTTTAACCTTTCATTCTTTATCGACACAAGCTAGAAGTATGTATCACTCATTCTCACTTCTTAATTGTTAAACACAATGTGCCTTTTTCTAAGTCATGATTACTTTTATTTTGTGAACGATTCAGGGAAAAATCAGCCACAGTTTAATGCTTATGGTGACAGGAAGGTCTATGGTGTAGATGCTTCACCGAAGATTCCCTTACCTGCTTTCGGTCTTGCTTCCTATAAATTGAGAGGTTCAATTTTGACTCCCAATGGACACAATGAATGGCAGCAAGCAAACTCTCTGTTGCAAGCTGCTGACAACTGGCTCAGGCGTTTGCATGTTAATCTTCCTGATTTCCAGTTCTTTGCTTCACATAATTCACAGTGGAGATGATAGGGGCATTAACTTCCCATGGAAATGCTATTCCAAATAGCCATGATGTTGAACGTGCCAGTTTTATGGAATGATATATGTTCAAAGATGAGATGCCATTTACTTAGAAACCCTCCTAACAGCTTCATTTTCAGCCTTCTCATCCTTAAAGTCATGTATGTGTTTTTTCGTAAAAGCAGCAGTGTTCACAAGTAAAAAACCGCATGTGGTTTTCGTCTGGTGCAGTGTGTATAAGTTCTGTAAAATTGCCAGTGCATGGAGGGATGGTAAGCTCAAGGTCAGCTGTTTTCTCAATTTCAGGCAGGGGTAAACTGTGGTCACCATATGAGAGCACAGATAATCTCTCACGCATCAGAATTGAATTTTTATGACGCAAATATATTGGTGAATCACTGGCCGTGTCTTCTTGTCTGTGTCTATGTGATTCTTTCATGTTCTTTTTGATGATGACGAAAATTTGAAACATATGTAATTGTATTTGCACATATAAACCTATATCTGCGGCTGCAATTTTTTAAATAGGCAATACATACAATCCCATTCCGATAATCGGGGGTTTCTAATTTTTGTTTTGGTGGGCATCGTACAGTTGCTGCTTATGTTTGGAACGTCAACTGAGATGTCAAAACTCGACTCTGCAGACAATGTAGCCTTAGTCAGGGGCTGAAATGACCTGGACTGGAGAACCTAGCCTTTTACAAAAGTTATTTTTGTCAAAAGATGTGCTCAAGTAGTACAAGGAGAAGCCCTAAGCGGTGCTGCGGTGGTTTTCAATCGGAATTAAAGGTTGGATTTTAAGATAACGGACGCTGTTCTTAATTCATCGAATTAAAATAAACAGGTTAACTATAAAGTTTATGGCATAGCAAAAATAATAGGGGATATGGTTTAGAATTTAATAATGGTTTTTGTTGATGCTTAATTTTGACATCAGCAATTTTACACGTGTAAAGTGCTAAGAAATCACATGTGAGTAGATTAGAGTGAGTGGGTGAGATATTGTGATAACAGTAGCATACAAATACGTAAAGTAAAGTAAAGTTGATAAAAAGATTTTTATAGTGGTTAAGATGCTTAAAGAGAATCTTACATCTATTGTGATTGTTTATATAAGTATTTCTTTCTGATCGCTACATAAGTTTACAAGAGGTCGCGAGCTGTGATATGTGGTTGTAAGTATTTGTGATCCACGAGAATATTATGTCAGTCTCTTTTTAGTAGTGTGTTTTTTATATTTTCTTTGTAAAAATTTGTATGTGCCTAACTTCTCTTTGGTGAGAGGGAGCTGTCTATTTATACTTGTTTTGCTCAATGTAATGATTACATTTTGCAAGTGGTCTGATGTCCTGAAGGTCCTTCTTGCCTTCTCATTCGTTGAGAACTCCTAAATATATTCTTAAATTAAATAGGCCTTGAACAAGTGTGCGAACCAAATTCACTCGAGCACAAACTTTTGAGATGGTTTGGGTTTTGACAACTATATTCCTTTTGCCTTTGAATATGTGTCAATTTTTGGACGATAGAATGGTTTGTTGAATTCTCATTGGTGGAGATAACATCAGCACATGTCAGTCCTTATTTTTTTGCATAATAGTGTTTTAAATTTTGGATAGGATATAAGCCCTTGGATTCCTTATAAGAAATAGGAATAATGCTGTTCATTATAAATCACTTATTAAGATAATTCTCAAAATATCATAAAACATAATTCTTTTCTAGATATTTTTAATATTAATATCAAATTATCGATATTTAAAATTGAATAACATATTCACTTATCAACACACACAATTTATATAATATTTTAATCGAAACATAGATTTCATGACACAAATTTACAATCAATGACTCAATATAACTAAGGATTTGAATGATGAGTTAGAATTAATTAATTTTTTAATATTAATTAAGAAATTTTTAAGACATTGGATTATTATAAATCAAGGGTTATAAAACTGTGTTAATAATTTATGTCGTAATCTTGAGTTATAATAACCTAAACTTATCAGGATTTAGTAATGCAAGAGGCTTATTAAAACCTGACGCAGATTTATAAGGAGGAGATTTTTTTTTTTTTTTTTAAGTAAAAAGGCGGTTTTAGACATATTACTCCGAAGACGGACAGCTCTATCCATATCCGGGTAACTCTTATCAAGGGGATAACTCTTATCAAAGGTTTAGCCTTGTCACGCTCGGGGATAGGGTTGTACTTTACTCCTGCGACGAAGTAGTTACAACCCTATTCGGCAAAACCTTATTCCCGAATTGGCAGAAACTCAAACCTGCCTGTCCTAGATCTTGCCAACCAATTCCAAGGTACTTTTCAGCTTTAATAATTAATTGTTCTCCATGTTCTCTCTGTATAATATCTATCAATTATCAATATCGACTTTTTTCTATCTATCGCCGTGGAATTGATAAATTATTTTGTTCTCTGTTTGAACAATCAATATAATTGTCCGAGAATTCGTTTTATCGCGTTATTAAATGAATTTCGACTTGAATGCTATATGAAAACAGATTAATTTTAATATGTTACGCGCTGCATGAGTGTATAAGATAAGTATGCAACCTGCTTCAATTGCAATGCCAGATTAGTAAAGATTATTACTTCATTACTGCTCCGTAAAACATCAATTAGAACTTTGAAGAATCTCACTTTTTTAGAGTAACAGTTTTCTATTACCTTGTGGATTGGTAAATGTAATGGGAAAGATCAGTTGGTTAATGACTGATTCTTATTGTTTTTGTTTTTCTGAATGTCAGGAAACTTGTAATTAATAGCTTTTTTTTTTTTTTTTTTTGAAATTGTAGACGGATGAGTGTCCGTGCCCAAAATGGTGGTGACCGAATGAGGACAGTTTGGACTCCTGAAATGGATCAATATTTCATCGACCTGATGTTGGAGCAGCTCAGCAAAGGAAACAGGTTTGATGATCCTTTGTTTAGTAAACGAGCATGGAAACAGATGACATCATTGTTTAGTGCTAAATTCAAATTTCAGTACCGTAAAGATGTTCTGAAAAATCGCTACAAAACCCTTAGAAGTCTTTACAAGGCTATAAAGAGTCTCCTTGAACAGAAGGGTTTTAGCTGGGATGAAATGAGACAAATGGTGACAGCCGATAATAATGTTTGGGAGGAGTATATTAAGGTAGAATGCTTAGTGTTTGAATAACTTAAAGAGTTACTGTTTTAGATATATTATTTTCTTAAGAGTATTAACAGTTTCACTTGTAGGTACACCCAGATGCACGCACATACAGAATAAAGACAGTCCCTTATTATAATGATCTGTGTTTGATATACGGCAATAAAACTATTGAACAGAAAGGTAACAATCTAGCGTTAATCTCGTCTTTGGCAAATATGTATGTATAATTGTTTAATTGGAAGGCTTTAATGGGATAAGCAGGTGATAACTTGCCAGATTCATCATCACATTTGAGTGAGAAGGAAATAGTTATGGTTACTCCACTAAGTAGTGCTGTTGAAGATGTGAATGCTATTGATGAAATTATGCTAAATGAAGATAACAAGATCTCTATGCCAAAAGGAGTTGTGGATGATACACCACAGGCCAAGCCAAATGTAACAGGAACCACAGTGGGAAGTCGTTCTAGGACTTATTGGCAACCACCGATGGACCGTTACTTCATTGATCTTATGCTAGACCAAGTGCAAAAAGGGAACCGGATTGATGGTGTTTTTCGCAAGGAAGCATGGATTGAGATGATTGCATCATTCAATGCTAAGTTTGGTTTCAGCTACGACATGGAAATTCTAAAGAATCGCTATAAAACACTGAGAAGGCAGTATAATGTTATAAAGAATCTTCTAGACCTGAATGGGTTTGTCTGGGATGATGCTCGTCAAATGGTCACTGCTGATGATTATGTGTGGCAAGACTATGTCAAGGTATGTATTCATATATAAATAATTTGTTTGAAACTTATGTGACGCCAAAATCATTCTTTCTTGCATTCTGTCAGATCTAGAAATCTATAATCAATTTGGTGATGCTTATTTTATTTAAGATGAATCTGGTAGAATTGAAATTTTCTGTATATGCAACATTTTCAATGAGTTTTTTTTGGTTTCTCTTCAAAATATATCGATCTTTAATAGATCTATATATATATAGTTCTATCTTTTGTTTTTGAAGACTTGACACAGGCATAATTCTCTTCTTTTACTAAACATGGAAGTTGACTTTGCTCTTGTTGCTTTGAAAAAGTGCACCCAGTATTTATTTGTTTATTCTTAAAGTGGATTTGTGGAACTATGTTTTGTATGAATTTGAACCCGCAAATGCAGCAGTTGGCAAGTGAAAGGATTTTAGTACCGTCTACGTAGTTTTGATGTGGCACTGTCTTTTGGTATCATTTCATTGCTTAGTGTCTCTGAAAGCTTTTTATATGATTAAATGCAGACACATACAGATGCGCGACAATTTATGACCCGACCTGTTCCCTACTTTAAAGATCTCTGTGTGATATGTGGTGACTCAAGTCTTGATGAAAGTGATTGCTTCTCCATTCAAGAGATAGAGATGCAAAAAGAAGTTCACGAGGTGAAGTTTCTTGGAGGACCAAATGACTCCCAATCTCCCGTGGCATCAAATTCTTGTGAAGATGAAGTTGGTTATTTTCTAGAGTCAGCCCATGCCGGTTCAAAATCTGTTGTATCTAGTAGTAAGAAGAAACGCCAATTTGAGAACTGGTCAAACTCTGCATGTATTAAAAAATTAAGATGCAAACATGAGGGCATGTGTGATACTCCACATGAGATAGTTTCTTTATCGGATAGTAAGAATGGTGATGAGAATTCAAACATCGTACCCATAGAGAATGTTATTGCAGCCGTCCAGGCATTACCAGACATGGATGAAGACCTTGTATTAGATGCCTGTGATTTCCTTGAGGATGAAGTGAAAGCCAAAACATTTATGGCCCTGGATGTTAAATTCCGAAAGAAATGGTTGCTAAGGAAGCTTCGTCCTCAGTTATAGGTTTGTCTAGTTTTTAATTTTTTTTTTTTTTTTTGTGTAGATTTACAATATACTGGACAGGTTTAGTTCCTTAACATGTAAATTTCAATTGAATGAGCAATTGCAAGTATTGTGCATGGTCTTTGTTGGCTACTGATGGGAAGATGCTCAAGACTACTGGGACGTTATACAGCAGCAACTGAAATCTGAACATCATATCCTTCTCAGTGGCCGAGTAAACTGTAGATGGAATTAATTGCAGGCTAACAGTTAAATTCTACAAAATACATTATCTTTGAATCTAGTTTTAGTCAAGGGTTCATTCGGTTGCAGAAAATATGACATTAAAGAAAACAATAGTGGAATAATGATCTTTGCATTCTTCTTAAAGCTTTAAATGATAGGGTATATAAGAAAGTGATTCTTGTCCCAATTTGACTACATTAATTTGTTCATCATTGCATCAAATTCCTACATCTAACCTAGCTTTCTCTATCGCGGTATCAAAACATTGGTCTGTGAACTTGTCCTCAGATCAGACAATGTGTCTCATTCACAAGTCATCATTGAAGATGGTGGATAACATCAGTCCCTGTACAAATTCGCACCTCTTTGCCTTCTCCGCATGGTCCTTGTCTGATAAGGAAGATTGAATGACATTTCTGCAACCATCAAAAGACAATCAAATTCAATTACAAGAAGGGGTCTATGGCTCCTTGGTCTTAAAGACAAAGCAACTTTGCAAACAGCAAGGCAATGTGAGAGTCCTGGGTTCTACAAAGGGCTCTCGGTTGTGAGGGAGTCTATTTTGTACTTGAGGGAAAGGATCATGGAAAAAAGTATGCTAAAAGATTTCTATATAAAATGATATTAGCCATCCCAGCTTAAATGTGACCCTATACTAATAGCAGTAATAATATAACTAACATGTCAAATGAATGCACAGCTCATCCATATGCACTTAAATTCTGCCTCTAAACCATGTAGTAAGCATAGAGTAATACATGAGTCGCATTCTTCACCAGTTTGCCAGTTTACACTTCTCCCTTCATACTTGCCAATCACATTTTATAATTCAGATATTAAATAACTGTATATATCAAAGAGGTGGATAACATCAATTCATATTTGAACACAACTACTTAGAACCCTTTCAAGTTCTATTGTTTTAACTGATTCCTAGTCCACCCCTGATATCATCACTAGTGCATAAAATCAACACATTTTAACCACAATTCTTCAGTAGCACCTTTTAAAGCAGCACTTAGCTTAAGGAGCACATATTTTGGTTATTTCCGGTCTTCACATTTAACATCCAAAACCATCATAATGGCCAAGTTTATTTCATTGAACTGTTAATTGATTACAAATATAATATCCTGCTTTCATCACTTGTATGCCAACCACATAACTTGTCCACATGTATTCTACTCCCCTTAAATCTATTTCCAATTTTGATGATCCCATTCCCTTTTGTCAAATATTCTCCTTTCATACTCTGTATAATATCTTACAGATATTTTTGAGCACTTGATCTTTGTTTAATGAATTCTTCAAGTAAATAAATAAAAACACATCAAAAAGAAGAAAGGAAACTTTATAGCATGTAATTAGACAACTTACGTCTCTAATGTTTTCTCGAATGAGATTTTCTCTTCTGCATTTTCTCCAGTTGATGAATCAACCTGTACACTTTCAGACATATCAACAGCAGGCGTGTTGTAAACAAATGATAGCAATGGATCAAGAGTCATTCTGGAGGAGGAAACTGAGGATGGTGACCTAGCAAGAAGAGATTGAAAATGCCCATTTTGCAATTCCTTCCTTAAAGTCAATAAAGTTGAATGAGACTCGCCTTTGTTAAGTTTCAACTTGTGCCAACTGTAATCTTAGTCAAGGAATCCAGAGCATGGTTTTAACTTATAATCAGAGCCATATTATAAGACAAGAGACATTGTTACTGAGAAACGTATGATGAATTGGGAGGCAGTAAGAAAACTTTTAGTACAATTAACTAAAATCAGTTAAAGAAAGAAAAGAAATTCTAAAAGTAAAAAGAGCAGCAAGAAAGGTACAAATTTTACATATCTAATAAGGGAAAAGAAGAAAGGATATCTTATTAGAAATGTTTCCATGATGTGTAGCAATATGTCCAACAATATTCATCCCCACTCTCAGAAAGCAAACAGGACATACCTGCAAACAAAACAAAAATTTAGGTCACAAAATCAAAGAAGAGTTTATAAGTAAAAATATGAACAGATTGTAACCTGGGTACAACTAGGTGTACAATGGGCTAACAATGAACGCCAGATTGCCATAAAATACCTAAGGATGATTTCATCCAGAACCTAAAATCATCATCCATGATGGGTAGGTAGAAGAGACAATAAGCCATTTTGTTTAAGAGAGATGAGGTGAAAAAGAAAAAATTTAATGTTGAACACAGTGGGTGGTGAAACAAGGACTGAAGGAGAAACAAAGGTTGTTCGTTTATTGTTTAGATAACTCACAAGAGCTAAGAAAAACTTTGAAAGAGAGAAGGAAGAAAAATGAAGAAGTAATTTTTATCCAAGAACAAACAAGTTCAAATGGGAACAAGCCAACAACCAAGATAAAATATTCTCAAGAACCCTAGATTTAAATCTCAGATGCATTTGTCAATCTAAAACCTATGCTAGTCACCCTGTCCCTCCAAATATGCCACAAAGCAACTAAGCAAACACAATCTATGCTGTGCAGCTTCCAGCACTAACGCTCTTTAAACACCCAAAAAGAATGCTTGTCTAAAGTGGTTCTATGGTTAAATAAGAATCGGAAGAACTAAAACGGAAAAGAAGAATTAAGTTGTTGTATTTAATATAATGGAGATTTAAGGCTTTGTCTAGTTTAATAAAGTAATAAGTAGCTGGTCCTCAGAGGTTATCATATATCTCTAACATTATTCATCATGAACAAAACAAAACCCATCCAAGAGCAACTAAAACCATAAACTCAGTACTAAATATTAGTATTAAAGAAGCCATTAGAGTTTAGGAAATAGTAATTATCATACTCAGTGAAAAAATTCCAGTAGCTCTAGCAACCAACATAGACGACTAAAATATAAGTTGAGAAAAAAAAAAAAATTAAAAGGATAACTCATTAAATACCCCAGAATCTACTTCTGATGGATGGTCCTCATCAATATGGCAGCACAATCCAAGCAAATCAAAATCCTCCGAACAAAATGAGCAAGGATACTCCCCCTTCATTTCCTCATCATCTTCTTCTATCTCATCCAAATCAATGCAAAAATCTGCTTCAATAACACCTAAACATTCAGCACAAATAAATCACAAAAAGAAAATAAAAATTATAATAGAATAGAAATGAAGATTTTGAGACAAACCAAATTGAGACTTGATAGTAGACTGATAGTTCTTTGAAGAAGTAGATAAACCAAAGTATCTATCAAAATCCATTGAAGCTTGCGTTAATTAAATTCCCAATTCAGATGCCTAAACCCCCCAACTTTCTTTTTTGATACTAAAGCTACTGGTATCTCAAAATCTGTCTTTATAAGCACATAAATAACGTGAAGTTGCACAGAGAGAGAAGCGAAGGAACCGAGCCCGAGTGATATTCCAAGAGGAAACGTGAAACCTTTTTGTGGGTTACATGTGGATATGAATCCTTCCTGGACAAGGTTTCTCCACCCAAAATGACAATCAACTCCCGCCTTTTAACGTAAACCACTGTCAACTACCAAAGAGAGACCCACCACTTTTATTTATTTATTAATAACCCGAGCTTACTTAAACTAATATAGAGCCTTAAGTTTCATTCAGATACGCGTGTTGTTGTCTTTTAGCTTTTCTGTTTACTCGGTTTTTTATTTTATTTTCTGGAAAGTACTGGCGGCTAGCATTTCATTTCCATAGTCCACTACTGAAATGCAACTTCAACTTCATTAAAGTTATAACTTAACAAAAGCTAATTTCTGAATAAATTATCATATACGCAATCAAAGGTTCTCAGGACGGTTAGATGATTGTTCACCCACCAAAATTCAAACCATAAGACAAAAAGTAAACAGAAGCCCTACTTTCTGGGCTCAGTATATTAGATTTGGGCCNTAAACTACTGTCAACTACCAAAGAGCGACCCACCACTTTTATTTATTTATTAATAACCCGAGCTTACTTAAACTAATATAGAGCCTTAAGTTTCATTCAGATACGCGTGTTGTTGTCTTTTAGCTTTTCTGTTTACTCGGCTTTTTATTTTATTTTCTGGAAAGTACTGGCGGCTAGCATTTCATTTCCATAGTCCACTATTGAAATGCAACTTCAACTTCATTAAAGTTTTAACTTAACAAAAGCTAATTTCTGAATAAATTATCATATACGCAATCAAAGATCTCAGGAAGGTTAGATGATTGTGCACCCACCGAAATTCAAACCATAAGACAAAAAGTAAACAGAAGCCCTACTTTCTGGGCTCAGTATATTAGATTTGGGCCTTTGTTTCTCATAAGTCAGAGCCATAGAAACCCAGTTAGACCCATAAAAAAAAGGCGCAAATTAGCGTTTGGTTTCAAAGTAAGCTTGTGATTCATTCCTAAGATTCCTTCAATTTCAACTTCTTCCAAAACCCTTATATTTTAATTTCAACTATAAAAAAACAATTTCTTCATTCTGCAATTTTACACCAAATTCAAATTCAAATTACGATCGGAGAATTCTTGACCTTGGATTTCGTTTTCGTTTTCGTTTCCGTTTTCCAATGGCAACGAGAAACCGGACGGCACTGTACAAAAAGAAAAGAGATGCATTAAAGAGCGTGCGTGCTCCACTCTCTTCATCGGCGTCCGGTTCGACCGGTCCCGTTATTGAAATGGTGAGTGGTTCGTTTCTTCGCTCCAATCGCTCTTCTTATACTCCTCTCAGCACTGAAGATCCTAGCCCTTCTAGGTATGTTTTTAATTTCTTTTAATTGTTGTTACAATTATTTAAAAGCAAATTTCGTTTGTTTGGATGTTCGAAATACGAAGGAAAGAAAGAGAAAACTAAAGGAAGTTTTGAGTTCTATCTAATTGGTAACTAACTGTAAGCTAAGTCCAAAAATTCTCTTATGTTTGGGAATTTATATTTTATATATGTCTGAATACTAGGCATGCGTGTGTGAGCTTTTTTCTTCTACAGTTTAGGTTGTCCTTAAACGGCATTGTAGTTGCTTGTTTATTATTGTTTAATCTAAGGACTTGTCAAACACCTAATCAACTTCAGATTGTTCGAGAACACTGTTAGATTATGAAAATCAACTCCAAACAGAGCCTTACTGCTACTTTTGAAAAATTAAGCGAAATTTTTGATAGAGTGGGTGGGGTCTAGAGTGATTGGAAAGAGCCTTACAGGATGCTGCGGATATCCATCATTCCATGACACAAGTGAAGTGAATGTACATTTGTTAGCTATTCAGGCATCAGATTTTGATATGACATTTTGTTTTTGAAGCCATATGTATTTTTCAAGTGTGCATATTAAAATTTGTGAGATTCTCCTATGTGAAAAATTGTATCCTTGGTGTAGTAGGGATGCATTTACAGTAGGTCTACCACCAGCATGGGTGGATGACTCTGAAGAAATAGCGGTGAATATACAACGTGCTCGGCTTAAGATGGCAGAATTAACCAAGGCTCATGCCAAGGCTTTAATGCCATCCTTTGGAGATGGCAAAGAAGATCAATGTACAATCGAAGTTCTTACACATGAGATTACAGATCTATTAAGGAGGTCAGAGAAGAGATTACAGAAACTTCCTGTGACTGGCTCTTCAGAGGACTCAAATATTAGAAAAAATGTACAGGTATAATTCTGATAATTGCTATATTCACTGTTTGGAGTAAAGTTATGTATTGGCTAAGATCAAAATGTTCTTAGTATTTATTATCTTGAAATTCTTATTACATATAAATATACATGTTTTTATAATGTTCAACATTATTCTATTTTACTCTATTTATTTATTTTTGTGGGCAGCGTTCTCTTGCAACAGATCTTCAGAACCTTTCAATGGACCTCCGGAGAAAACAATCAACATATTTGAAACGCTTGCAGCAGCAAAAAGAGGTCAGAATAGTTAATCTGGCTGCTGGAAACATTAAGCATACGTGGCCATCCTGATCTTCCTCCTATAACCATGCAAAGCCTTTTCATTTTTTCCCATGATTATATATATTTGATTAGTACATATTAAATTATTCACCCACTTAATGGTCTGCAGCTATTTGCTCTAAGTTTATTTTTGTCATTATGATTATAGTATATATAATTATTTATCTATAAAGATTTGTTTTGTTTTCCAGGGACATGATGGTGTTGACTTGGAGATGAACTTTAATGAGAAAAAATCTAGATTGGAAGATGATGGATTTAGTGATGTGGTATGCTGGTTTCCTCTTTAGTGTTACCTTTGATATGATCTATTTGGATGCATGAAATTAGATATTTAGTATCTATCCTGATGTGAATTATGAGTGGTCATGCTCTAGGAATAAACCTCAGAAGATTTCAAGACTGGATCTGAACCTATGACTTAAGTGAAGCAGATTTTGTGATATCAATTTAGATTGGAACAAAAATAAATGCTAGACTCAGGAACATCATTTATGGACTTGACATTGATTTTAAGATGCTTTTGAGCCTTTTTGATAATATAATGCTTGATCAATCCAGGGTTTTGATGAGCATCAGATGATGAAGTTAAAAAGGAGTGAGCGATTCAGTGAGGAAAGAGAGAGAGAGATCAAACAGGTATCTGGAGGCACCATTTAATATCAACTTCCCAGTTCCTGTTTAATTGATACAAAATTTCTCTGTAGGTTGTGGAATCTGTAAATGAGCTTGCTCAATTCATGAAAGACCTATCAGTTATTGTGATAGACCAGGTTTGTGTTACATCTTTGTATAATGTCATTCAGGAAGATTCAGCAAAGCCAGGCCACTAATGTAGTTTAAGTCTTATACCAGGGTACAATTGTTGATAGGATAGATCACAACATTCAGAATGTTGCTACCTCGGTTGAGGAGGGCTATAAACAGCTGCAGAAGGTTCGCTCTCCCCAACGCTCTCTTTTAGTCAGATACTCCCACAACCATATGCTTGTACTCCCTGACAGATTTACTCATTTCATGCACACACCCATTCTTTCACTCATTTTAGAATAGGTTTTGGTAGGTCAATTGGCAGCTAACCCTGTCAATTGATCTCACGGTTTTATGGTTTTGGCAAAAGCTTGTATCTTTTTATGGTTTTGGAGAAAGTTTTGACTTCTGTATAATTGGTTGCTATGGTCAACATTATGTTTATGGGGAACACTTTTCTGATTGGTGTCTTGCTGTTGCAGGCAGAGAGAACACAAAAGAAGGGAGGAATGGTCATGTGTGCAACAGTGCTTGTTATCATGTGCCTCATCATGCTAGTCCTCTTGATCCTCAAAGAGTTATTCTTGTAAATCATGATCGTATTACTGTTTGTTACTGAGAGTTACTGCCGCATGTTTCGTCTTGAAGATGCAATGATCTGCTAATCTACTGGGATAAATTTTGAATATAGCCTGAGATATCTGTGATCCTCATTGATTGAGGTTGGAGCATATTTTCTCAATTCACCATTACCCATCACTAAGAAAGTTTGAACAAGAGGAACGAGCTCATCTTTTATAGGCTTCTCATCTCCTCTTGTAGATATATCTGTTTATAACATAATTCTTTCCTGCAAATATGATTTTAGTGAAAATTAAAAGTAAGAATGCAATTCAGTTTTGGTATTGAAGAAGTGTATGAGCTCCAGCTTTATTGATGCTATGGCCGATGTTGTAAAGCCAGGAGGATGCTAATATATGGGCAACTTCTGTCCGTTTAGATGAGGGATTATGGTGAATGATGCTCTCAGAATGGATTGTATTAACATTCTTTCCTAATGTTTGAATCCAGTAATTTATATATATGCTGTGGTTCAATTGAACAGAGACGTTATTGATGTGTACATATTATATTGCTTATTGAGAACATTATTATATATGTAAAGAAAAGCAATAGCGCTGGATGTTTGAATCAAGCGTTTTGTTTTGTATCCTTTGTTACCTGATTAATTTTAATTGAACTCGCTGACCCGAAATTAAAATATAATTTGTAATTTTTTAAGAAAAGAGAAGAAGAGGCAGTAATGATTAAGACAGGTTAAATGAACAGTCATAAATAATGAAAGATGATAAGTATTGAACCAGCACTCAATTATGGAAGAAAGCGCTTTGGATGGAAAGTAAGTAGTAAGCGGTGCTTCCGTGAAATTCAAATCGCATTCAAGCGTACCTCATCTTCTCTTATTTAAATTTATGAATGGCTCTGGCTCATTCAAAAATTAAATATCCAAATGAGATTTTAAATTGTGTTAACAGAAATAGGAAATAAAACCGAAGTCCTAGTTTATTGGGATGTAGAATTCCACGTAATTTTAGGGTGGGGGCGGCCCCAGATTATCATGGCTTATGGTTAACAACCAGTGCCACGAGGAAGGGTTATAAAGAAAGAAAGAAGAAAATAATAAAAGAGGATAAAAGGGAAAGGAAATAAATATCTTGGTGGATTTCCTTACCATGTTAGTAAAAAAATCAATAAATGTATATTAATATTTTGGACTTTGACTTCTCTCCTTTTCTTTTTCACTCTTGTTTGGTTTTTGAGTTATGGATACTGCTGCTGCTAATGAAAATCCAATATTGAGTTGTTTAGGAAGCTCCAGCAATTATGATGAATTAATGGCTGGCTACAGCAATTATGATGAATTTATGGCAGCCGTCAGGGTTCTTGTTGTTGAAGATGATCCGACTTGTCTTTTAATAATCAAAACTATGCTCCAGAAACTATACCAAGGTTTGTTAAATTGTTTACTTCAATTTCCATATTTTATCTTCTTTAATGCGTATTCGTGACAGCATAAACCCATCAAAACTCCATAATGCTAATTGATTAAGAGAGAGAGAGAGACACACACACACACACATATATATATATATATACCTTTCCCTGAATTCTTTTATGAATATGATATTTATTGATTAATTTTTAATATTTTACACTGCTCTTAATTTGTTGGGGTCTATTAAATTTATTTTCTTTGTTTCACTTTAATAGCATCGAAATTATACAGCAATGATAAGTTGATTTTAGGCAGTCTTTTGATTACAGTTTCTAGGATAGAAAACTGAAGCTGCTATTAGATTGATAAAAGCCATAGTAATCAACTGCAAGGCATTTATTCTTATTCGGGCTTGAGAAAGAAGAAATATCAATGTTCTAGAGATACTGAATTTCTGGTTGTAATGTTCTTCTTTTTATTAATTTGGTGCAATAGTTAAATATTACAGCATTGTGTGATTGTGTTAACTTCAGTTACCGCTTGTCGTCGAGCAAAGGATGCTTTATCTATGCTTCGAGAGGATAAAAACAGGTTTGATATTATCATAAGTAATTTGCGTATGCCAGAGATTGACGGCTTTAAGCTCCTTGAGATCCTTCAGTTGGAGTCTGTGGATTTGCCTGTTGTTAGTAAGTGTATTAATTAATTAATTCTTTCACCTTTTACTAAATCATTACTCGCTTAGTTATATAATTAATTATGTGATGGTACTATATGTAGTGATATCGGCAGAAGATGGAAAAGAAGTTGTTCTCAAGGGTATCATTCAGGGTGTTTGTGATTATTTGGTGAAACCTGTTTCCATGGAGAAAATAAAAGTCCTATGGCAACATGTTATTCGCAAGAAATATACTGGGTTTAAAGAACTAAACCAACCAAGAAATGTAACAGGTGGTGCCCTGGAGATAAATCAATCTAAAAATGCAGATAATGAACCCCGACGAATTGAAGGAAATAATCAAACATTGAAAAGAAGATTAAATGATGATCAAGAAGATGAGGCCCTTGATGAGGTGACCAGTGGAAAGAAGCCACGGGTAACTTGGACACAGGAGCTGCATCAGAAGTTTGTCACAGCTGTTAATCAACTGGGCCGTGATAGTATGAATTTTTTTTTTTTTTCTCTATGAATTACCTTACTCAAACTTGTTTAATATATTTCATGGTGCATGAGGTGAAAAAAACTTAATTAGCTTTCTAATATACAGATTGATAAGGTAATAATAAAAGTCTTAGCACTCCCGTTTAAGGTAATCAAGACCAATTAGTATTCATAACTGATGGGAAATCAGCTCATACGAGATTTTGAAAGTGATTGTTCATTGGTTTACTTGGATTCGAGGTTCTAGAAAATGATTAATATGCAGAATAGCTTCTGTTGGTACCAAGGTGGGTGTTAAAGGTGTTAAAGACCACGAACAAATGGATTCTGTTTGGATAAATCTGTTCTGTTTCTTTCTGTATTGTAAAAGTTGCTCCCTCATTTTTTTTGTATGCATGTTCTTCTTTTAACTTAACCTAATCCTTGCAAAATGATGTGTATTACCCATTTTCTAATGACTCAATATTAATGCAGGGGCTGTTCCAAAGAAAATTTTGGAACGCATGAAAGAAATGAATGTTTTTGGTCTCACCAGAGAAAATGTAGCCAGCCACCTTCAGGTAATTGTTACATAATCTTAATATTAGTATTTCTGTGTGGATCGAAAATATTGAAGAATGCCTTTACCTTACCTTGTTACAGAAATATCGTTTGCATCTTCAAAGGCTAACTGAGTCTCCACATGAGATTGGACAATCCCGAGTCTATATGGATCCCGAAAAGTCAATTTTTGGTCATTCTTCTCAAGCAGCTACCTTTTCGGGTAAAGTTTCAGTGCCAAGCCTGGCCATCCCAGAAGCCACCGGATTTAACTCTAGAGGAGTTGGCATGCCTTACGTTGATCAAAGGAACAATTTTGACTCCAGGAGTCCTGAATCAAGTTTCTATTCCGTAACTGATTTGCCTATTCATGATTATCCTTTTAGGAGTACTGCTGTAGCAATGGCTCCCTTTACAAATTCATTTTCCCCAGCCGAGGAATATGAATATACGTATCTGGGAGACGCTGCTCAGCATTCTAGAAACTCCTCAATGGTTGAGTTCAAGGGTGAAAGTATGTCCCAGTTTATGCCTGATCAGCCTCTACTTCCTATTGAGTACTTTGATGATCAAGAATCTACCTTGCGCGGACCATTTTTGTAGGTCAGTTTCTCCTACATTCAGAAAATCTATAAAAAAAAAATTTCTTTTGAATCTGGATCAGGATATTTCATAATAAGTGATTATTAATTAGTTCAAATTTCTTTTGTTTTCTTTCAGCAAGGCATGTGCTAGCTGAAATTTGACTCCAACTATGATGGCTGTTCTTTTTCTAAAGCTTTCTCTGTTAGAGACATCCTATTCATTCTTTTCTTGTTAATCCTGAAAGAACTTCTTAAAATTAAATCTTTATTGTGATTTGCATCTACTATTGGAATTTAGAAGCCCTAAAAACTAATGGACCTGCCATTTTTGCTGAATTTAAAATTTTATATTTTGGATTATTTTGACTCTAGATAGGGGTACACTTACAGGCTCTTTATTCTTCCACTTCTACTGAATTTTCTTTCTCCTCTTTTTTTTTTTTTTCCTTGGTATTATTAATTCTTTTAGGCTCCTTGTGAATTTTAGGTTTAATAACAAATTGTATATTGACGCATTCAACACAAATACAACTCTAATTGTTAAAAAAGAAAGCACTGTTTGCGCACTATTTTCATTCACATATGTAAACAAACTGTTAAGTAAATTGCGTTGACTGGATGCTAAAGTTACATTTGGATAACAACATAAACCTTCCCATCAATATCTCAAAACATAGGAACAACACAAACTGACAAACCTCATGGAGCTTCTGAAATAGTCACACCAATAACTAAATTGAAAAACCTGTAGTATGGCCCTAAAATGAATTGAAGAATTTGGAGCAACTATGAAGACTACTGAAGAAGGTAGTCAGTGCATTAAAAAGAGAGCTAGAAGAATTATTAAGCCAAAAAGGCTAGTAGCCACATTCATCTTACAGCCACTGCTTGGAAGCATTGTGGGAAGTGCACATTCCTCGCCATTAAAGATTACTTTTGTTGGAAATCCATCTCCTGTTGCCACATCAATATTAGGGGTTGTCTTTTTTGTAAATGAAATTAGTGACTGCTGCTTTCCAGGAACCCGGGGATCTTTTCTTGGGTTGTCCCCATCCTTTTCTGCCACAAGATAATTCGAACCTGGAAAACCCTGCAAGAATATTGTATTATTGGAACCAGGCAGCACACTTCCATTGATAGAATAAACTCCTTCAAAACCTGGCGCTGCCTTGTCTAACTGAACCGCAGCGAACCAGTCCGGAAAATCAGTTTCGCCCCAGTTAAAAAGAGTGATCCTTGCAGTCCAGCCACCTCTGTAATCTGATAATAAATGCCAGTTGATGCTAACTCCACAGTTATCCCCACAGGGCAATTGATTAGGAACACTAAAACCTTTCATTGCATACCAATCTAAAGTTTCAACTGTACGATTCTCAAAGGGAACAAGAAGAGCATCAGGCCGTACAAGGAGAGCTGGCTCAGTAACACTGCATGTTTGACTAGGACTGTTGTTGCAGCCACAGGCGCATGTGCTACAAGGGATGGCAGAATCATTGAAGAAGGCTGAAAATGATACACAACACCTTGGACTTGTCAGTCTTCCCAGTGTTCCCTGCTTGGCCTGTGTAATGTTGCAAACCACTTTCCAACTAGCAATTGCTGTTGATTCTGTAGGTAACCCACTTGAATCTGGGAATCTACTTGGGAGCACTTGAACGGGAGACCCACATTGATATTCCGGATTTAGTGTGCCATTAATCTTCCAGTTCTGGGGAGGGATAAGCTCAGTTCTGTTGATGTCTGGTGGCATTTTGTAGACTTCCATTTGGAAAATTGAGGTAGACTTGCTAGGATCCACGTTACGAGGCAGAATTGTCCCATTTCGACAACAGAAGGGAATTCTCCCAAGATTTGTGTCATTTGCTCTTGTTGGAGGTAGGTCAATAATTGTAGGCCTTCTTTCACAATTCAATGCTGCTGAAAAATCCAGATCCCGATAGTACCGACCTTGCGGTCCATAGATGCATTCTGATGTGTCAACAGCATGAGGGTATGCTCCTTTCATGGCATGGATAAATTCTTCCCTCATCCACTCCCAGCTTAATTTCCAGTTATCAAGGCGCCCGAGAGGGTTATGGTTGGAGATTGACACTTGTGCCCAGTAATTTGTGTCATACGCCCTGATCACATCGTACATTAAGATAAGATCCCCATCTTGGTCTTCCACTGTGATATTTGTTCTAGAACTTGGGTCTCTAATGCAGCATAGTTGCATCTGATTGTTCCCTGCAAAACCACAGTTTGTTGACCATACTATCAGGAAATTATTATTTCTCTTCCGTTTATCATTATTTATGTTACTCTGAAAATTGTTCTTCCTGCCATTATAAATTAGAAGTAGCAAAAGACCTAATAAGTAATTCTTCATGAAGAGTAGTCATGTTTCTAGTACCAAAACCAGCGAAATTCCCCCTTCTTTCCAATTGTCTACATCTCACGCTATAACTAAGAAACTAATACTACTTTATGAGTTGAATTAAATATGTAGTAGACTTTTCCCTTGAACTCAAAACCCAAAAGAGTAGCTTATGTCATCGTTTTATTATAGTAAGTTTATGCCTTGGTGTCCAATGGAATATATTTCTAAAAGGTAATTCTTCATGAAGGGTCATGTTTAGACAGCCAAAACTAGCAAAATCCGCTGTTCTCTCCAATTGGCTAATAAGTCCTCATTACTTGTTAGCCTATATCTTTACTCTGTCAGCCACTACCTGCCGTAGTTCCTTTACAATTCGTATAAAGAGACATATCTGTTGGAATGCGAAAACATTTTGGTAATTGATGAAGAAAAGGTCAACAAGAAGAATTTTTTTTTTTAAGTTTTAGACAAATTTCTAATTTAGGAATTTGTAATTGAGAATAAGTGTTTCCTTTTCTAAAAAGAATTGGTTTAAGATTCTATTTAAGTTAAAATATATGAATGATTTAAATTAGAGGAGTTCTATTAGGAATATGAATATGAATCTTTGTAGAATAAGAATGTCTTATTTTACCTATAAATAGAAGAGTTAGAACTAATTCAATATTATGAGATAAGTAAGTAAAGAAAGAGAGAATGTGAGGATACAAGAGGTTCTGATGTAAGGGGTAAATACCAATGGATATTAAATACTATAGAAACAATATGTTCGAGGAAGAATCAGAGGATCCAACAATGGCCCATAAGAGCTTCTGGAAACAGCATTTAGAAATAACTTTGCGAAAACAATCAAAGAACAGATTAGCATAATTAAAACTACTTTACCTTCAAATGTAGGAAGGGGACATGTATAACCATCATTGGCAAGAGAGATATTATTGGGCATGGGAACATTCGGAGCTCCAACACCAAACTGAGTACCCACCAATCGGATCTGAACCTCCATCTGGCTTACATCCCACGCTGTTTCAACAGCAGACTTAAGGTCACTCTTTGGGAAGCCGGCAAAAACGGTGCCGTTGCCAACAGAAGCAGGAAGAGAAGACCCATCACCTAAAACAGCATTACTTGCAGAAACCAAAACCTCTTCATGTTGAAACCCAACAAAAACTCTCCATGATTTGAGTTCATCGAGGCCGTTGTTGAGAATGGTGAGAGTGGACTCGAACCTGTAAGGCTGGTTAGGTGAGTTAATTGGTGGGATGGGATAGCCTGTGGTGTGAGTGTAGGATAAGAATATACCATTGCAGGTTAATGATGATGTTGGAGCTTGTACCTGTTGAGAGTGAATACTTTTGAGAGAGAGTGAGATTGCGATGAAGAAAATGATGTTCAGATTAAGAGACATGGTCTCATGAAAAGAGTAGTTTGGAAAGGAGATTATGTGCGTAAAATGAAGAATGTGAAGACGAAAGCTTTGTATTAGCGTATAAATGAAATGGAACTGGGTTGAGTTTGTTTTGACGTGCCGGCTCTGTTTGTTGTGTTTGTTCATGCATGGGAAGAAGTCTAAAGAGAACTGGTCCTAATTAACTTTAGTGGTATTTAGTTTGGAATCATTTAAGAGGGTTTATGTTTTTTAGTTCGGAGTGTATGTAAAGAGTAAAGAATTCAACACCGGAATCAACAGTTGGTAATTTTTGCAGCATCGTTGAGCTTCTGTGGTGGCCAAAGACACGTGGGTTAATGAAATTTTAAATACAGTATACTCTTTCATCAATTATATGTCCTCGAGTGAAGACGAGATGATCTCAAAATGTGAACCATTTCTCGACATATGTTTTAGAAAGATAAAAGAACCTCATACTTCACCAACCTCAACTCTTGATCTCTTTCTCCTGTTTCGGCATCTGCCCTTGTTTGTATTTTTTTTTTATGTTGCCAATAGTGTTATGCATAAGAAATTGTATGGCCTGCAAGGCGCGCAGCTTGCATGATTATCGTTTAACATAGCAACAACAGGAGCCAGTAAGGCAGATGATTTAAGTGACAAAGCATGTCTATTTTCATGGAGCAAGGTCAAAAGCTGGCCACTGAAGGTGACCCCAATTTTGAATATTTATTTAAGTCCAAATGACTTGCGCATACCCAAGGTTTGCTGAAACGACAAAATGATACTTAAAAGGTTTAAAAATGGCAAACAGGTATCTTCCATCATGTGCTGTTAGTGATTTCTATTTGTTAATAGTGAAAAGACTAAAATGCCCTTAAAAGTTTGATATTTTATTTTTTATAAATTTAAAAATTTCTAAAAAACCCTCTAGGTTTGCTAATTTAACTAAACACCCCCATATATAAAAAGTTTGTTAAATAACAAAAACACCCCCAGAAATTGCGTTACGACACAGACCCGTCGGATCTGTGTTGTAACGCGTTGATCTGGCCTTTTCCGGCTAGATCCGTGACGGATCTGTGTCGTAACGCGTCGATCTGGCCTTTTCCAGCCAGATCCATGGCTCATCTGGCCGGAAAAGGCCAGATCTACGACTAGATCTGGCCTTCGACGCCGCAGATGGAGTTTTGCAGCCACAACGGCCAGATCTAACCGTAGAACTGGCCTTTTTTGGCCAAATCTAGCCGTAGAACTGACCTTTTTCGGCCAGATCAGCCACGGATCTGGCCGTCGAGGCCGCAAAACTCCATCTGGCTGAAAAAGGCTAGATCGACACAGATCCAATGGGTCTGTGTCGTAACGCAATTTTCCAACCAGTTTCCGGCGGTGGTGACTGGAATCTGACACTGCGGGTGGTGGGGGTGTTTTTGTCATTTAACAAACTTTTTATATATGAGGGTGTTTAGTTAAATTAGCAAACCTAAGGGGTTTTTTAGATATTTTTAAATTTATGAAAAACTAAAATATCAAATTTTCAAAGGCATTTTAGTCTTTTCACTGTTAACAAATAGAAATCACTAACAACACATGATGGAAGGTATCTGTTTATCGTTTTTAAACTTTTTAGATACCAATTTGTTATTACGACAAACCTTAGGTATGTGCAAGTCGTTCGGCCTCTATTTAACCACTCAGTTTATTCAACGGTTCATTGCCTAGTGCTGACTGTTATAAATACTCCACTAATTTATCTTTCCTTCGTTTAAATTGGTAATTTAAGCTGAGTACACAGGCTGTTCTATATATATTTTCCATCCCATGTGTCTCCCTTTTTTGTTTTGAAATTGAAACTAGATCTTATCAATAATTAACGAATCTTGATTCTTCTTTCAATTGGAAAAGTTTATTTTGATTAAAGCATTATCATTATCTAATATTACCTCTGTTCATAGTTTTTAAAAATTAAAATAATATATTATTATTTACATCGAACTTAGAAACATACATGGGCATTATATTTAAACTACTTTATCATTTGTATTAGAAAATAATTAAAAAAAAAATCAATAACCTATGTTTTAATAATTACGAATTAGAAATTAAACAGTATCTTGAGATCTTCTTCTGACATTCTATTATTAGTTTAATGGAAATACAAATAGATCACAGAATATATGTAATGAAATTAAGTGATACTGGCACACAAAGTACTTGGTGTGCTTTGGGTGATGTTAACTTTGCAAAGGATTGTACATCCTTGTTTTTGTGGTCTTCTTTTGTGCTTCCCAATCCTTTGGCTATGTCCGAAGGATGTGGTTTTCCCCTCTTTGAATGTATTCTTTATTCTTTATATAATTATCCGTTATCAAAAAATTAAGTGATTGTCTAATAAACATTGGGATATATATCCTTCTTAATTATCTAATATATAACTTTTTATTTGAAAAGACAAAATTAATTGAAAAGTAAGAGTAGGTTGATAACAAAAGAGTAGATCGAAATGCACGTAAATTAACTTGGATACCCGATTAAAAAAAAAAAAAAAAAAAGTAGGTTGATAAACAAAAGTATATTCCTCAAAAAGTCTCAGAATATTATTTTGCATGAGAGGCAAAAATTATGAAAAGTATTGCTTGCAGCAATAGCACAACTGTTTCTACCGTTTAGATTATTCGACCGTTAAAAGTTCAAAAAAGCCCTTTGGGATTTGACTTCTTACCAACTGGGGACCACTACATACGTCAGAACCCAAACTGACCGTTTTATTTAAAAAATAGCCGTCAGATGCCATTCTATCTACAGTCTAGATTTGTCGACCGTTGCATAAACCCTCTAACCGAACCCCACACGAAAACTCCTTTTTTGAACTTAAAATTCAAAATCAATATCCTCAGATAGCATCCATTTTCATTTGTCTCTTCTTCCCAGAAGCCCTTATCTGCTTATAGCTTGTTTCACTTCAACAAAATTTTCAACTTACTTTTGGGTCTTGAGGGGATTTTCGTTTTCAATTTTCCTTCGTTTTCTTGATCAGGGTTTATTTGATTAGGGGCTCTCTTTCTTCCTTGGAAAGAGAGGTTTCTGTTTCTTGATCTCTCAGAGATTTGTTGAAGAGAGTAAAAAGAAAAAAGTATAACAAAATGGTAAGAAGAGCTTCTTCTCCATCTTCATCACCAGTAACTGTAACTGTTTCATCATCAGGAGGAGGTATTAGAAGCATGGGCTTAACAAGTCCAGTACCACGTGCTTCAATATCAAACAATCCTAATTCTCCTCTCAGTAGTAGAGGAAATCGTGCTTCCAGCGGTGGGAATAGGGCTTCAAGTGGAGGAAGATATGTTTCAATGTCGAGAGACGATGCCACGGAAGAGATGAGTTCAGAATTTGTGACATACACAGTTCATATACCTCCCACCCCTGATCACCAGCCTATGTCTGCCTCACAAATAAGCCTCAATGATACAAAGAATGAGCCCAAACCTGAGAGAAGTTTCATTTCAGGTACTATTTTTACTGGAGGGTTCAATTCAGTGACTAGGGGACATGTTATTGACTGTTCTTTAGAAAAAACCGAACCTGGTAAATTAGGGTTGATTTGTGGAATGAAAGGTTGTGATGAGAAAGCAATGCAAAATAAATGTGAATGTGGGTTCAAGATTTGTAGCGATTGTTATTTGGATTGTATTGGAAGTGGAGGAGGGCATTGTCCTGGGTGCAAAGAACCATACAAGGATGTCTCTGATGGAGATACTGAGGATGAGGTCATGTCTGAGGCAGAGGACCAAGCTTTGCCATTGCCTTCAGTGGCGGATTTCAAGTTGGACAAGAGGCTTTCACTTGTGAAATCATTTAAGGCGCAAAATCATCCACCTGATTTTGATCACACTCGCTGGTTGTTTGAGACAAAGGGGACATATGGTTATGGGAATGCTGTTTGGCCGAAAGATGGGTTTGGTGTTGGATCTGGAGCTAATGGATTTGAGCATCCCCCAGATTTTGGGGAGAGAAACAGGAGACCGTTGACAAGGAAGACGGGGGTTTCTGCTGCAGTTATTAGTCCATACAGGTAAATTCTTTTAATTTTGTTTAGAGAAGTTTTATGTAATTATTTTACATCTGTATGTCTGGATACCTATTTGAACATTATATTTGATTGGTGTTCTTTGTATACTGCACATCTGGTAATTCAAATAGGCTTCTTGACCTTTAGAACTCTTTGTAGATTGTTAGTGATCTTTGGTCTACGAGGTCTTGGAGGGATGCTTGTCGCTCTATTGTTCAATTTTTATCAAACTAGTTTTGTACAAGTTTATAATCCTCAATAGTTCTATTAGGAAGATTCATGCATATGGCTACTAGAATATGAACTAAATGTTGCTTTCTCAATAACACTTGTTTGCTGACGTAAATACTTCACTTTTTACTACTTGAAGATGAAAATTCCATGTTGCATTCGGATAAATTGAAGCGAGTATGACAAATTAAGAATTGGAGATTACTTATATATTATGATGACTGTGTCTCAAAAAGTATATTTTTTCCTTTTTTGCGATTTTAACTTTGGAATGTGTTTATGTTGCAATGCAGACTTATTATTATGATTCGTTTAGTTGCTCTCGGTTTCTTTCTTACATGGAGAGTTCGACACCCCAATCGTGATGCAATGTGGTTATGGGGGATGTCAATAACTTGTGAGCTCTGGTTTGCCTTTTCATGGCTTCTTGATCAACTCCCTAAGCTTTGCCCTGTCAACAGAATTACTGACCTTTCTGTTCTCAAAGACCGTTTTGAATCCCCCAACCTTCGTAACCCCAAAGGACGATCTGACCTTCCTGGTATTGATGTATTTGTCTCCACAGCTGACCCAGAAAAAGAACCACCTCTTGTCACAGCAAACACCATTCTGTCAATCCTTGCTGTTGATTATCCAGTAGAAAAACTTGCTTGCTATCTATCTGATGATGGTGGCGCTCTTTTGACATTTGAAGCTCTTGCAGAGACCGCTAGCTTTTCAAGAATTTGGGTTCCTTTTTGTCGAAAGCATAAAATAGAACCGAGGAATCCTGAGGCATATTTTGGGCAGAAGCGTGATTTTCTTAAGAATAAAGTAAGGCTGGATTTTGTTAGAGAAAGGAGAAGAGTGAAGAGAGAATATGATGAGTTCAAGGTAAGGATCAACTCATTACCAGAATCCATAAGGAGGAGATCTGATGCTTATAATGCCCACGAAGAGCTTCGAGCAAAGAAGAAACAGGTAGAGATGGGGGGAAATTCTTCAGAGTCTGTTAGGGTTCCAAAGGCTACGTGGATGTCAGATGGTTCTCATTGGCCCGGAACTTGGACTTCTGCAGAAACAGACCACTCAAGAGGGGATCATGCTGGTATAATTCAGGTAATTTCTTGTCTGAAATACTTGATTTGGAGTTGAGTCTGTTTCTGAAAGCCTTATAACTTTCAAATTTAACTTTCCTATTGCAGGCAATGCTAGCTCCACCGAATGCAGAACCAGTTTTGGGGGCAGAAGCAGATGGCGAGAACTTGATTGACACAACAGAAGTTGATATTAGGCTGCCAATGTTGGTTTATGTATCTCGTGAGAAGAGGCCAGGTTATGATCACAATAAGAAAGCTGGAGCCATGAATGCTTTAGTAAGAACCAGCGCTATCATGTCAAATGGTCCATTTATTCTCAATCTTGATTGTGATCACTACATTTATAATTCTCTCGCTTTGAGAGAAGGAATGTGCTTTATGCTGGATAGAGGTGGGGATAGGATCTGCTATGTTCAGTTCCCACAAAGGTTTGAGGGGATAGATCCGAATGACCGGTATGCAAATCACAATACAGTGTTCTTTGATGTGACCATGAGGGCTCTAGATGGTTTACAAGGACCAATGTATGTAGGCACAGGCTGCATTTTCAGGAGAACTGCTCTCTATGGGTTTAGTCCTCCTAGAACCACAGAACACCGTGGATGGTTTGGCAGAAGGAAGATTAAGTTGTTTTTGAGAAAACCCAAGGTCGAAAAGAAGGTAGAGGATGAGATAGCTTTGCCCATTAATGGGGAACACAATGATGATGATGAGGATGCAGATATTGAATCATTGCTTCTTCCCAGAAGGTTTGGGAACTCTACTTCTCTGGCTGCATCTATCCCAGTGGCAGAATATCAGGGAAGGCTGCTTCAAGATTTGCAAAGCAAGGGTAACCAAGGCAGGCCAGCTGGTTCTCTTGCTGTGCCTCGTGAACCTTTGGATGCTGCTACGGTTGCAGAAGCAATAAGTGTTATCTCTTGCTTCTATGAGGACAAAACTGAGTGGGGAAAAAGGGTTGGGTGGATATATGGTTCTGTAACAGAAGATGTAGTGACAGGTTATCGCATGCACAATAGAGGATGGAGATCTGTGTACTGTGTAACCAAAAGGGATGCATTTCGGGGAACAGCTCCGATAAATCTTACCGACAGGCTCCATCAAGTCCTTCGATGGGCAACCGGATCTGTTGAGATCTTTTTCTCGAGGAACAATGCACTTTTTGCCAGTCCCAGAATGAAATTCTTGCAGAGAGTAGCATACTTCAACGTGGGAATGTACCCTTTCACGTCTATGTTTCTCCTAGTCTATTGCATCCTTCCTGCAGTGTCTCTATTCTCCGGACAGTTCATAGTACAATCCCTAAGTGTAACCTTTCTTATCTTCTTGTTGGCCATCACAATCACCTTATGCATGCTTGCTCTCCTAGAAATCAGATGGTCTGGAATTACTCTTCATGATTGGTGGCGAAACGAACAGTTTTGGTTGATCGGTGGGACAAGTGCCCATCCTGCAGCTGTTTTGCAAGGACTGTTGAAGGTCGTTGCAGGAGTTGACATCTCGTTCACATTGACGTCTAAATCTGCCGCACCTGAAGATGGAGATGATGAGTTTGCGGAGCTTTATGAGGTTAGGTGGAGCTTCTTAATGGTTCCTCCGATAACAATCATGATGGTAAACTCGATTGCAATTGCAGTGGGTATAGCAAGAACCATGTACAGCCCATTTCCACAGTGGAGTAAGCTTGTTGGAGGAGTGTTCTTTAGCTTCTGGGTTTTATGCCATCTCTACCCATTTGCCAAGGGATTACTGGGGAGGAGAGGTAAGGTTCCAACCATTGTCTTTGTGTGGTCTGGACTGCTCTCTATCATTATATCTTTGCTTTGGGTGTACATAAACCCTCCATCCGGAAGGCAAGAAGATTACATGAAGTTCCAGTTCCCTTGAAGCTGCTGCAGCAGAATTAAGTGAAGTTTCTCAACTTGACTTTGTAGGATAGTCCACTGGTTTGTATTCTATTATTTGTAATGTAATGAATTTGAGTTTAGCTTCTTCAATGCTTTTTATTGTTGGTTTACTTTTAGTAGTTCCTATGGAAAATTGGAAATGGAAATGGATAATTTCTATCAGAACCATTGTTGGTTTACTTTTTAGTAGTTCCTATCAGAACCATCAGCTTTCTAGCATTAACGAACTTCAGTAAACCAGAATATGTTTGTTACACACTATTTTATCGTAATAAACCTCATACTCTTTCTCAAGCATTCAATTGTCCAGAAAATAAGCAAACAAAGGAAATCCAAGCTTAACAATTGTCATGTCCTCTTTGTTCGGTGCATTTTGTGGTTATGCTGTCGGTGGTTCCTATGAGTTTACAAGGACACCCCACAGAATCTAATTCTCGATCTTTTGTTATGTCTTTGTAAATTTAAAGATTCCTATTTTATTTGCACATGCATGTGTCACTAGTCATTGATATTCCACATAGTTAATATGTATTAGTAGTTCCTATAAGGTTTAACAATCAAGTTCTTTAGAACTTGGCCATTCCTGTTACGAAATTTATGGAAAGAAAATGTTTGGCAAGGCGCCATAGACCCTCATGGTCAGAGTTAGAATCGGTTAAGCAGATTTCTTGAGCTGGGGGAGTGATATGTGGATCTGTTTCACATAGCCTTCCTACCCAGCTGTAGCCCACAAACTCTAAAACCTCCATAATTTCATTCCTGTTACGAAATTTATGGAAAGAACATGTTTGGCAAGGCGCCATAGACCCTCATGGTCAGAGTTAGAATCGGTTAAGCAGATTTCTTGAGCTGGGGGAGTGATGTGGATCTGTTTCATATGTCCTTCCTACCCAGCTGTAGCCCACAAACTCTAAAACCTCCATAATTTCATTTGTTAGCTACCAATATGAATTTCTAAAAATGTTTCCATCATTTCCCAGCTCCTCACAGGTTGCCTGGTATTGCTTGTCCATTGTTTTGATGCTTACAACTTTCAGCTGTCAAACTGGAGTCATAATTATAATACTGATCAATTCATAGTGACCTGAATTTAAGAGGATTTTCGTTGGATCAACTGAGTTGGCGCCAGTGGCAACTTTGTGATCATCAAATTTTGAGGGCCCTTACTCCCTACCTTGCCCATTTATCTTCAACATTTTTCTAATATAGATGCATCAATCTGCATCTCTAACACAAAATTCTTAGAAAAACTTAGGCGAATGACAACCAAATACCACAAAAACAGTCGTATGAGTAAAATAAAAGAACAACCTAACTTTATGATGCCATCACCAGCTCGAAAAGACTCTAAAGGCAGTATTACAATTACTCTTCTCAATTCTCACTTTCAGCTACTACCTCAACGAAACATGGATAGTGAGGGGAGCCTAATCCACCAGTATATAAACCTAATTCCAGTTTCTCTTAATACTGCATATGTTGGGCACTGAAAGGTAGGGCAACCTTTACTCAATAGTCATACCTTACAAAGGGTTTAAATAATGGTCAACATTCCCCAGATATATCAATGTTATCCAAGAGGGAGAGTTCAAAAATCTACAACGAAATTGCTGGGATTGATGAGTTGTTCTTCTGTAATTCGAAGCAAAAATGTTTATTTGGACCCAAAAAAGAGATTACCATTCATTTGTGATGGCACCATATCTTATTTGGGTTCACTAGATGGCTTTTAACATGATTTCCTTGGACAAAAAAGAATAAACCAGTTGAAAGAGGTAGGTAACTGGCCTTTCATAAAATTCGGGAGGCCAAGGCAGTTCGTAAATGTGTACAACATCTAGAGAAAGAATATTTGGTGGACCATAGACAGTTGATGGTCCCCTATCAGATCAACCCAAGAGGCAAGCCCTGTTTCTAGCTGTAAAGTATCTTCAGGTCCAAACTTCTCTTTCCACTACGTATGCGCTTGCCCCTTTCCTCCATTTGTTCCTTTCCTCACATGCCACAACAAAGTCTGGCTGATGTTTATAGACCAAAATAAATATACCTCAAGCTTCTGTCATCTTCAGACTCGCTACTATTAACTACAACTCCATTTGGTTCATTAAGGCGGACACAAGCTATGAAGCTCATACCAGAAATTGTCTTCATACTTGTTATATCATATATGTGCACATGCGATAGAAAGGGACAAACATTCATGGGAAAGAAGGAACCAGAAAAACAACCCAGTCTTCAAATAGACCCATTTTTGCAAATTGTAGTAGAAAAATTGTTCAGGATGCATTCTACTGGGAATTTAGCCGTGTCCATCAAGGCCAGTAATTACGTTTAAGCTCAAGGACAAAATTTCTGTGGTTCTAATTATTTAACAGTTATGAGTAACCCAAATGGACCCAAAATTTATTGGACTGCGATGTCTTACGGGTATACATACTACTCCTGTAACTCTCAACACGGTAATGGCTCTTTATACTTTTTTGGCATTTTATGGAATCATCATGTGCCATTATTAATTTAGCTTAAATTAAATTTAAATGGGAAAAAAAAAAAAAAATATCTCCACATAACATATCAACCTGCTGCAATTCCTTCCACATGAATAACCTACTTTCTCCCTCCACCCAAAAGAAACAAAGAACAAAAAGAATAACCCACTTCTATCCACCTTCAACGCATGAAATGAAATTGTTATCTTCACAAAATAACTTGGGTTCTGCCTCTCCATGTATAATCAACAAAAACCACACTTGTTGAGGTTAGGTTTTAGGCAACGCAATGCAACTGGATCAGTCGGATGGGTCAATCGCCATCTCTATTGCCCGTCTCTCTCCCTCTTCTAGAACCATCTAACCTTCCCAAATGATTAAAACAAAATATTACATTAGCATTTAGCAAATGATTAAAATAACTGAAAAAGAAAAAGCTGCCAAAGTCAGATTGATCTCTTATGATTTCACAGATTAAATTAGGTAGACCCAACGTGTGTTAATGTGTCCTAATCGAGTTTTTAACATAAAATAAATATAGAGAAAATCCAACAAATCTTTATACAAATACAACTCTGTAAGATCATCTCAATCATAGCAAGTATAAAACAATCACAACATGAAACCCGTTGATTCCACAAGACTCAAGCAACTGGCCACGTGTGAATCCAGGGCAAAAAGAATCGTTCCCATCCCCCTACTTTGGACACTTCTCACGCAACAATGAGATTAAGGGGGTGATTGGTACTATTTCCCTATAATTGGTGTGATATAGCTGTACATATAACTACATTGTCTATAAAACCAAAATAATTAATGAAAACAACAAATATTAATAAATCTAATGAAAAAAAGGGATTGCCTCCTAAATGCGCAAGAGACAGAGTGGGAGGTAGTTCACAATTCTTCAGCCGCTGCCACCGAAGTAAACCCTTAGTGGTCTTGGATCCTATCATAACTTAGGAGCTTTTTTGGATTCTTCCCATGCCTAGTTTTAGTTTATCTCTTCAGCCGGCACCACACCCCAATTTTAGAAACAAAATACTCTTGTAGTCGGTTCCTTTCGGCCACCGTTGAAATAAGGACAAACCAACAAACAGTTCAATACATATGCTCCTCCCACCTTTTGCTCCTTAAACTTCAAATACTAGATTGTTTATTCACTTTTTCTTACTAATTTTCTGGTAGAAATGGGATTAAAAACGCAAAGGCAAAATCTACAAGGCTACATCTTTTAAGTCCCTACCAACGCTGCAGCACATTACCAAATGGCCTACCACCATTCTGCAGAAAAAGGAGGACAATGAATGTCATTGCCTTCTCTACACTAAGTCGGTCAAGGGCATTTCGGGGAACAAAAAAAATATAAAAAGAAGATAATACCTAGAAAGATAGAAAATTGAAAAATTCTCAAGAAACAAACAGCTAGACCGACAACAGACTTGAGCCTCATAATTTATATTTGCCAGTTGCCTATTTGCCAATCGCAATTTACAAGGATGGATTAAAAAAGCATTCCACTTTAATGCCAGTACACCCACGTGTACAGCCGCCACCATGGGAGGATTAGCTTAGCTTTTTAGTTTTTATCTCAGGTTTTGCTAGGGTACTCACTTTGGCCCTAACTCCGACTGTAATTTAACCACAATCCTAATCTGTATTTTATCTGAAAAAAACACACTCCATAGACTCTATATACACAGATAAACATACAGATATACAAATTGAATATCTTTTTTCTTTTATTTTCAAGAGGCAGAAATAATAGAATACAATACAAATCACTGAGAAATAAGCTTTATAACAAGAGTCATAAAAGAAAAAAAAAAATGGAGTATACTCAAAGTAAAGAGAAAAAAGACACAAACTAACGAAGATAAAAATAAGAAAATGGAAAAATAAAAAATAGTCCTTGTATGAAATTTACCGGCATGTGCCACCAAGAAAAAGAGGATGATGATTCAATATGAGTGGCCGTACAAATCGTATGGTGCCCATAGTGTATCAAGAGGGCAATGTCGCTTAGAGTCAAGCCTAATCCATGGCTTTCCGCTACCGGACCAATGTAGTAAGCTAACCGGACCAGGATGTAGGTCACGACAGCTGCCACGCACATTATCCCCACCCAAACCGTGCTGGTTCCACCTGTGTTCAATCGGCGCCACGTGTCCAGCAAAAACCAAGAGGAACGGCGGCAGTGAGCCGAGCTCATAGATCCTGTCACTCTTCTGGATCTCCATCCACCTCTCAATCCGTTTGGTGTATCCAGCCAATCTCCACTTAACCAGATCTATAACCATCACTCCCGTATTAAAGTAACAAGGTCTTCTTCCATAAAAAGTAGAAGAAAATCTTCTCTCACTCCAAAACGTTGCCGTGAAATATTTGGTTAAGTTTGCGTGGCAGTATTCTGGCGCACCTATTGTTCTCGAACCCAAGCTTGTTTTCCAGAGTTTCGCAATATCGTCAACAACCACTAAATCAGAGTCTAAATAAATCACTCTACCAACACATGGCTCTAACAGATCAGCCAAATAATTTCTGGCATAATTTAACGGCTGTTCAAGTGCTTGTCTAACAGAAGTCGAGATCATGTTTCGTACTATATCTGGATCGAAATAATAAACCTTGAACTTCAATTGCGGGAAAGTGGATCTCACTAGTTTTTCCAGATTGATCTCTGAGACCAAGAAGTGAAAGAAAATACTCTCTGGACACATCGAATGTTGCAAAATGGAATGAACCGCTGCGATTGAGCCACGGAGGTAGTCAACATCGAGAGTAATCGCGACATGGACCAGCGAGGGATCGCAAACACCAGTTCTACCGGAGATTTTGTAGGCAGTGGAGCCACATTCATCAGCATTGCGAAATATCGAAGCTTTTCGGAATGAAAAAGGATTTAGTGAATCAACGGAGGACAGATGGGAGGATTTAATGGCTTCTGCAGGAGGAGACGATTGGAAAGAAAGTGATAGAACGATCAACAAGGTTGCGGCTGAGAAATATCCAGAGAATCTCAAAATCGAAAGCATTTTTCCACGGTAAAATCCTCCACTCTTCTTTTTCTTCGATTTGAAATCGAATCGATCTGCTATAATGGAGGATAATCGAAGAAACGCTTGAGTTCCTTTAAGGTGTGCCAGTGTTACGAACAAAACTAATAAAAGATAAAAGAAAGATAATCAAAAGGTCACGAATCGATCTTTTACTGGGTATCAAAGTATAATTGCCGTGGGAAGGAAGCGACCTTGGAAGAGAGAGAAAGTAGAAGAATCCATATTACCGAACCAGGCCGCAAAATTAGGGCCCGGCGCTACCGTCCCCCGCCGTTTAGGCTTCTACTATATGACTCCCCCCTCTACTTGCAGTCTCTATCTGTCTCTCCTCTCTGTGTTAAATTCTTGTTCATGGGGGAAGGTGATAGTAGCAGAACAAAAACACAAGTGGGTACTGGAGAGAGACTGCCCCTTTCTTTTCCTCAAATTTTTTCTTTTTTCTTTTTCCTCCTAACTTTGCGTTTTCCACTATAGAAATCCACGGCGAAACAAAAAATTAAATTTATTTTTAAGAGATAAATTAACAAGCGGGATAATTTGATTAGGAAATAAAATATGGTTAGTTTACTAGCTTTTAGTCTGTGGTAATATACAACAAGATTTANTGGGGGAAGGTGATAGTAGCAGAACAAAAACACAAGTGGGTACTGGAGAGAGACTGCCCCTTTCTTTTCCTCAAATTTTTTCTTTTTTCTTTTTCCTCCTAACTTTGCGTTTTCCACTATAGAAATCCACGGCGAAACAAAAAATTAAATTTATTTTTAAGAGATAAATTAACAAGCGGGATAATTTGATTAGGAAATAAAATATGGTTAGTTTACTAGCTTTTAGTATGTGGTAATATACAACAAGATTTATACATATGACAAGAGCCTTGTGGAAGGAAAGGACCAGCTGTCCTTGTCTTCTTTAACAATGACGATTGCGTCCCCCTCCAAGCACGTACGTTGTGTACACTTGGATTCTTGTACACATCACCCCTTCTCTTAGCACGTATTTAACTATTTAAAATAACTGGGTCAAACTCATATCTTTGCTTGATCCAGAACCAGAATCTGAGCCCACTCGGATTATTGCCTTGTTTAACTTCGAAAAGGGACTACTGGATCACCTATCATTTTTACTTAACAATCGAAGGGTTTTTGGGTTTGCCCACTCTATTATTAAAAGAAGTTATCATCAGTAGACTTCTTGTGAATTAGTTTTGCTTTTAAGGCAAAAGATCAATTCCTGCAAACTTAAATAAAACATTTAATGCTTACTAATACAAGGTTAATCACTACTATAACCTGTATAATATTAATTAATATATCAGTATTATAAAGAGGAAATTAGTAATTTTTCTCGACAAGAGAAAGAGATCAAGATCCCTTACAATTAATATATAAGATTAATTAATATATTAGTATTATTATTATTATAAGGTTATGTATCCTCGTTTATTCCATACAAATAGTAGTAACTCTCGGTTCTTACTTTTTGGTTTTTACCATACAATTATTTTATTTACAGTCAAGTTGCTCCCAAATCCCAATTCCATCATTAGATATATCAATTTTGGATATATATTTATTCCCAACTGTCTCTGTCCTGCAGCTCCTGCTGTACTTAGCAAGGAAATAAATTTCCTGAATTCTAAATTGGGTTAATGTCAAGTCTCAACACACATACTCTGTAATTTATTTATATCAATGTCATGTTGCCCTCCCAAACCATCTAGAAGTTACCCTCGAGGATAATTACCATGACTGAAATCACATTCTTTTAAAATCATTTAAATAAGTAGTATCTAGATAATATTAGAAAACAAATCGAATATATTGTAAAATTCGCTCAATATTAAACTCAACGGTTGTCCTCTTTTTAAAAACACAAAAAGAATAATTAATATGATATCAAGCTAGAAACCCATGTGATATTAATCTTGGATGTTTGAACGGTGACCAGTATTATTGGCACAGCGCTATATGTTCTCGTAACTTCATACATGATTTGTTCTTTAAAACTATAAATCTAGAATAATATACTACAACCAAAGTGATCGGTGCATACTGTTTAGTGTTGGATATTGTCATATTGACAATACCTCCATGCAGGTAATTAGTATTACTGTAATTTAATTTTATTTGCAGACGTGTTTATTAATTGACAATATTGTCCTGGGATACCGGGTCCCGCAGAATCTATGGGCTCTCTTACACTGACCATTCTTTGTCATTTAGCACACATTAAACATGCAAAATAAATTTGCTCGAAATTCGATAAGGTAATAAAGGCGTACATGAATCAGGAAACCCAGTCCGCAGTAAATAACATCAGAAAACATCAGACCGCTCAGGCTTTGCAGTTTAGTGTGAAACTAAGCATAGTGAAGAACAGCTATCCGGTCAAACCAATATCTTGATGCCACGTTCATCAATATGTCTCCTTTTGTTTATGCAATGGAGGTATACGGTGGATCTGCAACACAGCTGTGCATTGCATGATCATACTTTGTGAAGCGTGTTCCTCGGTGAGAGCACACTCAACAGTCCGTACACCAGCCTGGCTTCCACTATCTATTTTTGTGGATCAAGTTTTTTAAACTGATCCAATTATACATTACCCATAAGCCCGTTTGGTTTTATGGGTCAGTCAAGCCCGTTTGATTTTCATATTCAATTATTGGCAGAGGGGCCTATTGAGTGTATTGTACGTAATAAAACCGCTTACTGTTAACCCAGCCCGTCACTATCACTACTAGTAGAATAATACTAGTATTATCGTCTTTTAATTATATTATTAAGCTATTCCTTCACACCAATTATCAAATAAATTAAATGACATTCATTTGAATATATAAAGTATTTATTATATATAAAGCATGATGTAGCATACATACATGTGTCCCCTCTATAATTAATATTTATTATCAATTATATTATATAAACATCAAAAGTGGGTCAAACCACCACTAGGTGATCGAGTAGTCAACTAAGACTCTTGAATATATTATTTAGAAATAGTAAAGGTTAAAAGAAATTATTCAAAAATTAATAATAAAAATAATATTATTTTAATATTTAAAAAGAATTTTATAGAAATGGAGGTATTTTAGCTAAATTTGAAATATTGGAGGTTAAAAGAAATTATTTAGAAATTAATAATAAAAAAATATTATATTAATATTTTAAAAGAGGACAATTTAGTAATTTAAATAACATACTCACCAATTTATTCCTTCTAACCAAACATATTAATACAATATACTTACCAACTAACCAAATATATTCTTTAAAAGATTCTAATAATCTTCAAAGTAATATAAGATTTCAGTAATCTAACATTTCTTGAATCAAACACACTCTAAGAGTTAAATTGGCGGCATCAAATTCAATCCAGTTTTGAGGACTTGCTATCTTCGGTTAATAGAATGATTGCTTCATTGGGGGTATGTATTTATATTTCTGGAATACAATTTTTGTTTTCAATTAGTACTGTTGGTTCTTTAATAGCAAGCAATGCATTATTTTTTGGTAATATATCGTGTATAAATAGAATGAAAATGTGGCACGTTACATCACCCAACAAATCTTGCTATAAGATTACATTTCTCTCACAATCACAAGTCACAGGCTCCCAGCTGTCCGTGTGATTTTGTAACGTGGAAGCTTGAAAGCGGCAGTGGCAGAAATTAAGCATCACGGCTCATTCTATGGTCGGCAAGCCTATTTATTTGATAATTGATCATCAACCAATCGTGTATATTGTCCAATTTAATTATTGAGGGAACCAATCTGTTATAACAGAGAGTATCCCCACCCAAAAAAAAATAAAATATAAAATGAGTTTGGTCAACTGGTAAGGAACTCAAGCGAAGGGAAGGGATGGTAACATATCATGATCAACTAATAAGTGGTGGCGTCAGATTATAGAGACGTTAATGGGGCTAGCCGTTAGCAGTCATTTTAGAATGAGCCTCTTTTCCAAATCCCAACCTACTACTACAATTTTTTTTCCGCTTTTTTAGCCGTTGGATGGTCAGTGGTCATGTTCATATAAGTTAAAACTAATTGGATAAAATTGAAGGATTACTTAATAACTTGTGTAAGTTTACTTTAGACGCAATTTAATGATGGGCTAATAATCATATATTAACTAACTGGTGCATTTTCAGAGCGAAAATTGAATGATGATTTCAATTAACTTATTAATAATGTGGATCACGTGTATCATTTTAATTTGTGGTATTGCTAGATTAGATTTTTGACGTGTCACTTTCTTTTTGAGGCGCTACATGGCACATAAACAAAGCATCCTTGTGTAAACCATTTGGCTTGTAGTGAAAATGAGTGAATGAAGAATAATTTGGTTTCCATTCCAACATCATGGCCAATAAATTAATTGGATAAGATATTGTTTGATTGATTCTATTAGTCTACCTTTTAAAATACATAATTAAATAACTTACTGAAAGAGCAAAGTGCTATTGATAGATTGACCGTATATTTATATGTATTATATATATTTGCGAGACATGTATGCACGCAAAGCATGCACTTTTTTAGTTTTTATTTTTTTTATTTTTATTACTGTATTATGGAATAAAATAAGAAAAAGGAGGACCGACGATGTACAAAGTGATTTTTGAAAGCGTCAAGTCAAGTACTTAAAGATTAAGGAAGGTTCAAAAGACAAGCATTCGATTCTATTGGATGAAACAATGACAGTACTTACGTTCAAGTTCAGAAACCAATTCAACCACGGTTTTATACATGTCCCTGCCATCCACATGAAAAAGACTTCTACGTTTTCCACCTATATTAATTACTCACGCGTCATTTAAGCAAAGAACCTCTTTTTTAAAATTTATTTTTTATTTTTTTAATTGAGTTCTTCTATTTATTGTTTTATATTGCATCTCTTAATTTGCTGCTTTATTTAAAATATATTTTGATAATGTTACCTCAACCAACATGTTAGCAAACATATATATATATATATATAAACCAATAGCCGTCTTTCTAACAATTTATATCTGTAACTATAGGATTTCAACTTTGAAGAGTAAAATTTCGTATTTGGCTGATATAAATTTATATCAATTAGCCTCCATTTATCCCATTATTTTTCTGTTTTTCATATTTTCTCATTTTCATGCTATATTCTCAAACAATTAATCCTAATTCTAATAAAAACTTGGGTGTAAAGTTACGAAAAAAACTCAGTTATATTATAGGTCCTAAACTTATATACTCCCTAGTACTGAAGGTCAGGAAAATGATAGGGCTCTTTTTTGCATTCTTTCTTTTTCAAAAAAAAAAAAACACACTATTGATTCGTATTTTCCTATTGGGTTTAGGCTCAGACAGAAGCGGGAAAATCCTATTAACCAATAGTATGACAGTTTGTTGGGCTTAAGCCCGCTCAAAATTCAATACAACTTCAGAGTTCTAATGTATTAAGCTCTGACCACTACAAGCTCCAACCAGCTTTAAATTTACTTTCTTTTGGCTATTAAGTGTTATTTGATTTTTACACAATTAATTTAAAGAGATTTGATGGGAAGATCTCCA